TGCTGTTGACGCCTCTCCACGGGCTCAGGGCCCATTAGTAGCTTCCCGGGTGAAGCGTCTGTTCGGATCTCTTGCCTAACTCGTTTCTTGGGGTCTTCACCTGCATGTTCTCAACTTGCCACCCAGATGTGAGGCTCCCAGAAGCAGTCGTCCTTGAGCCTGCTGGCCCAGAAGCCGTGGGGGAGGAAGATGTTGCCTGCGGTTGACATGGGACACGCCAGCCCTTCCTGCGCGGCAGAGCTGCGCCCGCCCGCACTCCCGCTGCACGCTGACGGCAAGTTCAGAGGGGCTCCCCGCAGACACAGCAGGAAACATCTGCTGGGGAGGCTCGGAAATGGGTGATGGGTGAGGTGTTGTTACCCACAAAAGTGAGTGATCTGCTCGAGAGAGAACCCAAGGCTGAGTGCAAAAAGCTGGAAGCTGGGAGGCCTCTCCAGCAATCTCAGACCCTTTTCTTGGGGGGTTCACATGCCCCACCCCACAGTCTCCTGACATTCGGTTCTGCAGGGAATAGCAACAGAGGAAAGTTGACACGCATAAGAAACAGCTCCTAAAAGTTATGGGACAGTGAATCTTCTTTCTTTCCTTCTTGGTTAGGGTACTGGTGTGTGAGTCGTTTGCTGAGTGAATGTGAAAGAAGTTAAAAGGGAAGTGGATGGAAAATGCCTCTATCTTTGGCCCCTGCAGCCTGCCAGGCCTTCCTGCAGAATCTTCCAGCAGTTGTTGGCTTTTTGTGGTTTCCCAAAGGGATGGCCCTAGAGTTAAAAGCTGAAGAGAGTCCACAGAAATGATGGAGACGTACATCCACACCCAAACCTGCTCGCGGCTGGGTGCAGCAGCTGCACGGACACCGCTGGGGCTTGAAAGCGCCCAAATGTCCCTCAGCAGGCGAAAGATCAACAACCCCACTGATGCGCGTCCAGACCCTGGGCTGTGACTCGCTGCTAGAAAGAAGTGAGGCGCCGAGCCCCAGGAGACAACCCGGAGGAGCCTTAGCTACAGGTTACTAAATGAAAGAAAGTTCCAGGAGGAAAGACATTCTGAGTGTTCACTGCCGTGTTCCCAGCATCTAACAGCGGCTGGCCACGCAGACCCTCCATACATATTTGCTGGAGGGAAAAGGGCAGAGAAAAGCAGCCTTCCTCTGCTCCTGAGCAGTCAGAAGCAAGGGCGGCCAGGCTGCCAGCTGAGAGGTGGGCCCCTGAGACAAATGCCTGTTCCCAGGCCACACACAGACCTCCTGGAGTGGGTGGGTGTCCCGAGGGAGGGGTAATCTGCCTTTTTAAATGAACGTCCCAGATGATACTTCTATCATCTGAAGGTGAGAACCCCTTGGGGTGCTGAGGGAAAATGCAGCTTTTTTAGGCCAGTGGAGGCTCGGAGGCAGCGAGGCTTGGACACGCTGTGGCCCACACGCCCTTGCGCTTTACAGATAGAGCAGCGACAGCCCGGAGGAAGGGACGCCTGCCAAGAGCCCACAGTCACCTCCTGATGGCCTGCGAGACTCTCCGCCTCTGCGGGAAAAGAGCACCGGCTTAGGTGGCTGGTAAATACCAGCGCGATCTGGTCAAGGCCCAGGAGGTGTTGACTCCCCCGGAGGAGGCGGGGAAAGTCCAGAGGAGCTCTAGGTAGGTGTGTTTCGGGGAAATGTCAGTGAGGTCACAGAAGGATTCACTTCCCCAAGCTGCCGGGAACCGTTATTTTCCGGCTTCTCCTGTCACATGACACGACTGACTGAGTATATTTAACTTAAGATGAAATGGTCAGATTTCAAATATGCAAAAACTTGAACCGGGGTGTTGGCGCAGGAAGATGCACCTGCCAACAACCTCATCTCACTCGATGTCCCACCTACTTGCCATCTGACCTTGAAGGACCTTGGGAACACGGCCCTGGCCTGGTGGGAACTGGCGGGACTAAATGGCGCCTAGGAGTCTCCCAGTCCCGAGGGTCGGTGGTTCCCTGAGTCTCCACCCTACAATTCGCCTGTGGCCACAGGTCCTGCCTGGCTGATGCCCTGCACGAGCATGGGGAGCCTTGGTCTAAAGTGTGGGCTTGTCCAGGAGGACAAAGTAGGCAGACAGTCTATAAAACCGGTAGACACAGACATAATGCAGAGGCTGGGGTTTCGTGGGGGAAATTAGGCAATCTCTACACAGGGAGACAGAGGAAGTGAGAGAAAGCCAATGAGGACATAGGTAGTTTTTTTTTTTTTTTTAAGATTTATTTATGCAAACAAGAGGTGGGGTGTAGGCCAGAGGTATGGTGGGGAGGGGGTGTGAGAGGATTCACCAGAGAGAGTGGGGAGCAGAACAGGTGGATCCACTGAAACACACTGCTGAGGGGAGCAGAGGGAGACAGGAGAGGTCTGCTGCACCCTGTGGGTAGCTCCCTGGCCTGAACTGTCCCACCTGCCAGTGGATTCAGATGAAAAGTGGTAATAAAAATCAGGTGCCATTCCAAAAGGAGACACCGAGCTGGAGAAGACCGAGCTGGTCTGTAAGGAATCACTCGTGAGTACACATTTATTCTGTATACAGATCAGTGGCATCAAGTGTGTAACACTGAAAACATCACTGCTTTTGGATATGCTTCTCTTGGTGTGCTTCTGAGCCTGGCTCTGCAATAAATATGTGAGCTCTTTGGAAAAGTAAACATAACTCAATTAAACTCTTTTTAAAATTTTTTTTGAAAGTTTATTTTTTTTAAGATTTATTTATTTATGCATACAAGAGCTGGGGTACAGGCAAGAGGTGTGGGGGGTGAGAGGATTCGCCAGAGACAGAGTGGGGAACAGAACAGGCAGACTGACTGAAATACACTGCTGAGAGGAGCAGTGGGTAAGACAGGAGCGGTCTGCTGCGCCATATAGGTAGCTCCCTGGCCGGCCGGGGATTGAACTTGTGCTTCAGAGGCTGCAGACAGCTTCACAGTGCTGTGTTAAACCCCTTGTACCACCACGGAGGCCCTCAATTAAACTCCTAAAAAGGGGCTGCCTGGTGGTGCAGGGGTTAAGCTTCACGCTACCACCTCCACAGCCGGAGTTGGGTCCCAGGCCAGGGAGCTGACCCACAAGGCACAGCAATACCCTTTGATCATTATTTTGCAAACTGCTGAAGGTAGAGAATCACACATTTGTCCTACTTCCTAATATGAAGGATGGTCCTCTTCAGATGTATTCCTGCTAAGTGCTGCAGAAGAGGGGTCACAAGCCCTATGCCACACAGGAGTCAGCAGCGGCTGCAACCATCACAGCATGAGAAACAAAAGGTGTTATGACAGAGGAACCCATGGAGGCCCACTGTACCTACATATGCCACCACATGAGTCGTCTTGTCAAAACAAAACCTGATGTGGTCGGGGCATTCAGATCGAATTACCAATGTGCAGAAGGAACACAAGGGACCGAAGGAGACATTAACACAATGCCACAGGGATGCCTTCAGCAGGATCGAGACTAGGGAACTCTATGGGACAAATCACCTTGTTTCATCAAACAGTACAGAAGGGATGGTGGGGGGAGAAAGGAAACGAAAGAAACTGCAAAAAAAGAGGAAGAGGGAAGCCATGGATTAAAAAAAAAAAGTGGGGACTCCCTGGTGGCGCAAGGGGTTGGGACACAACCTATGAAGCAATCCGCAGCCTCCGCATCACGAGTTCTATCTCCTGCAGGCCAGGGAGCTACCCACATGGCACAGCAGACCTCTCCTGACTCGCCCCCTGCTCCCCTCAGCAGTGTACTTTTGTCAGTCTGCCTGTTCTGTTCCCCGCTCTGTCTCTGGTGAATCCTCTCACATCCCCAACACACGCACACACACGCATGCACACACAAGCATGCACACACACACACACGCACGCACACGCATGCACCTCTGGCCTGTACCCCAGCTCTTGTGTGCATAATCTTTAAAAAAAATTAAAAAAAAAAACTGAAAAGCTTAAAATTTTACCCAGTTGCAATGTATGTTCCGGATCCCAATTCAGACAGTTGTTTTTATATAAAAGACATTTTATAGGTGAATCAGAGAAATGTAAACATTAATTCAGAATATGACATTAAGAAATTATTGTTCATTTTGGGAAATTTTTGAGTATTTTGAGACGGGATTGCTTGTCTTTTAAAGACATATTGTGAAATGTTTACTGGTGAAATCATATGAACCCTGAGATTGACTTCAAAATAATGGGGGGGGGCGCTCCCTGGTGGCGCAAGGGGTTAAGAACCGCACTATGAAGCAATCCGCAGCCTCTGCAGCACAAGTTCGATCCCCCGCCTGCCAGGGAGCTACCCACATGGCGCAGCAGACCTCTCCTGCCTCACCCACTGCTCCCCTCAGCAGTGGATTTCAGTAAATGCGCCTGTTCTGCTCCCCACTCTGTCTCTGCTGAATCCTCTCACACAACCCCCCCCAAATCTCTGGCCTGTACCCCAGCTCTTGTATACATAAATAAATCAATCTTAAAAAAAAAAAACAAAAAACAAAAACCCCAGGCCCACGCTCCTAAACGTCCTCCAGGTGTTGGGCAGGCTTCCGCCATCTTCTCGAGGCTTAGACCGCCCGGACTGGAGGACACCCGGTTCTGAGGGACGCGGGCCAGGCCCCGCAAGCCGCGCCTTCCCACCGAGGCGGCCGCGCGCCGCGTCGACAGCGACCTCCGCCCCCGGCGGCGCAGCCCGCCCGGGTCCCCGGCTTCCGCGCGCCCGCAGGACTACATCTCCCGGCAGGCTCTGCGCCTCGCGGGCGGGGGCCGGCCCTCGACAGCCGAGGACTACACTACCCAGTGATACCTTGCGGGAGGCGGTAGTTGGGTGTGGACTGCACAACCATTGGTTCTGCGTCCACGGCAGCTGCGCGGTGATTGGCTGAGGCGTCCGTCAGTTACTGCCGCGGGCCGTGACGTTTCGCGCTAAGACGGGGCGAGCAGGGAGGCGGAGGAGCGCGCCCCGGGCCGAGCCGCGCCCTCGCGGCCGGGTGAGTGACCTCTGCCTCCGCCCCGCGAGCGTGCGCTCGGGGCCCGGCGCCCCGGCTCCCCGGGGACGCACCGGCGCGCAGGTACTCTCGCGGGGCGGGGACTGCGCGCACACGTGTCTCGCCCGACCTGGGCAGCCGCTGCGGGGGCGCTGGGGGCGACCCTCCTCCCGGCCCCCCCGGGCCCCCCCGGCCCCCCGAGGCTCCGCTGTGCCCGCACGCTGGGCCCGCTGCAGGGACCCCCCGCCGAGCACGCGGCTCCGGCCGCTCCCGCGGGGCCCCGGGGTCCCCGCCCACGAGGGTTTGCGCGGACAGAAGAGGGGGGCGAGGCGACTCCCGTCGCCCGGGGCGCCCCGCGCTCACGCCGGCAGCGCCGGCCTCCGGGGGTGTGTGGGTGTCGCGCTGACAATCACATTCCGTTTCTGCCTCTAGAGAAATACCAGGGCTTGTCGGTCCATAAGGAAATTTTGAAGGAGCGGAAAAGGTAAGGCCACCGTGGGCTTGTGGCTGACCAGCCCCTCAGGCCTGTGAAACGCGTCTGTTTGACAAATGGCATCATGCGGGATCTGTCCAGCCGTCTGGATTAGGCAGGACAGGCATCGTGCCCATTTTCCAGAAGGGAAAACTGAGCCCAGGTGAAATAAACCTGCCCAAGGTGCGCAGGAGGCGGCACCTGAACTCAGGCTTCTTGAGCCACGGGCTGAGGCTCTGCGCAGCTGTGCCGAGCTGCTTCTACAGAGAAGTGGCTCCCAGACGGGGCAGGAAACTGCCGCTGCTTGACGTGAGCTGAGCCGTCCCTGTGTAACTCTGGAGGCGCTTTGCCTCCCAGTCAGGGACGCCCTGTGTTCAGTGCTGGCTTTCCCCCTCTCTTTCTGCAGGGCCGTGTTGCTTCTAGAATAGCTACGCGGTTTTTAATAATTTATTCATGGCTGGAGCCTCTGAGGTGTGCCAGGCCCTGTGCTGACCTGGGCCAGCCGCCTGAGGCCGAGTCCCTGTCCCTCGGGAGCCCACGTCCTCCGGACAGAGAGGATACGTTAGCATGCACAGTGCCCGCTAGAGGGGACGTTAGTCTCCCACGGCCATGGCGAGTGGTGCCTTGGCACCCAGGCGCTGTGGACACACAATGCAGTGTCCCCACCATGCACCACGCAGCTTGTACACTTAAGGGGGGCCGTCAAGCTCAAGGGGAGTGACCCTGGCCAGAGACACCGTAGACACGAGATGTGTACGGCTGCCCCCAAGCCGAGTGCACAACGTTACAACAGCTGGGACGTCAGGCAGTAGGAATTTGGGGACCACTGTCACACGGGCAATTTGGCGTGGACTGAATGTCAATAGGCAGCGTGTGTCAACTGCATCTGGAGGGGATGCCCCTTGGCTGAGCCCTGGGGAGGAGAGGACCTGGTGGCGGAAGAGCAAGCTGGCTGGGAGTCGGGCTGCCTTTCAGACAAGGGAGCAGGGAAAGCAGTGGTGAGTTGGGCAGACAGGTTTCCAGGAAGTGGTGGGAAGTGCTGAGAATGGCCACATGAGGGGAGGCAGGAGTGGTCCAGGCTGAGGGTGAAGTGGTCAGCAGGCAGCATCAGGGGGGCCTGGGAGCATCATGCTGTTCTGTGACGCCATTCTGCTGCAGTGGGTGGGCCTGGGGTGTGTACAGACAGTGGGGAAGGGCTGGTGTGTGTGTGTGTGGGGGGGGGGGCCCTCTGAGCGCTTCCTTTGCCTCGCTTGAGCCCATTAGAGTCCCAGGCCCCTTCCCCAGAACCTGCTGTCTGACAGGCCTCCTTTTTTTTTTTTTTTAAGATTTATTTAAATCTTAAATCTATTTATTTAAATCTGAGGTACAGGCCAGAGGCATGGGAGGGTGAGCGAACTTACCAGAGACAGAGTGGGGAACAGAGCAGGCAGACTGACCGAAATCCACTGCTGAGGGGAGCAGCGGGCGAGATAGGAGAGGTCTGCTGCGCCATGTGGGTAGCTCCCTGGCTGACCAGGAATCGAACTGGTGCTGCAGAGGCTGTGGACAGCTTTTCAGCACGCAGCGCTCAACCCACTGGGCCTCCTTAGTGCTTGACTTGAGTGGGCTCTGGCCTCCTGCTTTCGCAGCCTAGGCCTTGTCTGAGCCAGGTGTTTGCCGTAAAGCCAGGTGTCACTGGAAAGCCAGTTGTTTCTGGCCTTTTCATTGATTCAGTCAACAAATACTGTGAGCACGTTCTCTGCTGGGCTGTGTTCCAGGCACTGGGCTACAGAGATGGAGACATGAGACCCATCCATGTTCTCCTAGTTGCCTTCTAGTGGGGTAGGGACAGGGACTGAGTAAATAACAGTATACGGCAATTCGTGCTAGAAAGAAGGGTGAGGGAATCCAAGGGACATGGGCTGATCCTGGAGGGCTGCTCTGAGGAGGTGAGATATAAGCTTGAACTTGCTCTGGACCCTCAGAAGTTGCTCTGCTGTTCACTGCCTGTCTCTTGCATCTAGCTGGAAGCTGATGGACATTGTGTAGGCCAGAGGCAGGGATGGTCGGCTATGACCCCAAAGCAGATGACAGGAATATCTCCAATTTTGAGGTGGTGGTGGCAGGATCTGTGTCTGGACTCGTCACGCGGGCCCTGATCAGCCCCTTGGACGTCATCAAGATCCGTTTCCAGGTACCCTTTCCCCTCTTTTCCAGGTCACAGGCTGGAGGACACGTTCACTCTTGCCAAAGAAGTTTCTAGAACTTGGAATTTTGTCAAAAAAGAAGCACTTTGTCACCTTGATTACCTTTTCTGCGATTTCTCCTTGCTGCGCCCCCACCAGAGTTGGCCTGACCTTCTCCCTCTCGGTTCCCAGCTTCAGATAGAGCGCCTGTCTCGGAGTGACCCCGGTGCCAAGTACCATGGGATCCTGCAGGCCTGCAGGCAGATTCTGTGGGAGGAGGGCCCAACGGCATTCTGGAAAGGCCACGTGCCGGCCCAGCTTCTCTCCATAGGCTACGGCGCAGTCCAGGTGAGTGCGGGTCCGGCTGGGCTGTGGAGTCAGGCTGCTCCACAGGGTGACGGGTGGGTGGGCATGCCGAGGGCAGGGCCGCAGAAGGTGCTCAGCACACCACTCGCCTGTCCTAGTCACTCTGAGATGGACCGTACACCTCCCTACGTCCCCCCACCCCAGGTGAATTTTGGGGGTTACACCTTGGAGATTCTCTTGAGGCCATTCAAAGTAGCATTTTCACATCTGTGCTTCCATGGAACTTGCCCACAGCGTTGCACAGGAGGCCGCGCAGGGCTTTAGTGGGTCCCAGAGAGGTTAAGCAAGCTGCCCCAAGCCACACAGCCGGTGGTGGTGGATCTAGGATTGCAATACAGGCTTCCCGGGTGTCACTCGTCAGCCGCGCACCAGCGTGTCTCCGGGGGGGTAGGACTGCCCGATGTGGGGTGATGATGCCAGTCTGGGCAGACCCCGTCTGGAGCACTGTCACATGTCACCTCACAGCAGTCTCTGACGTCGGTGGATTCTGTGTCCTCTCCTGCTTGACAGACGAGCTTGAGGCAGAGGGAGCTGGCACAGACCCAGCTGGACGCTGGCTAGAAAGGGGGCAGGGCCTGCCTGCTGGTCCTCACTGTCATGGGGATGGCTCGGGTGGGGTGCTCCTAGGGACCGGACCCTTCTGTCTCCCCCGGGTGCTCAGTGGATGCCGCCAGCTGTGAATATGTTAGTGACCTGGCCAGGTGGCCCCCAGTGGGAGCGCTTGTAAGAAGATCGCTGTGTCCGGGGCTGACCCTGACCATGTGGAACGTGCTCCCCAAGGGCCTTCCTAAGCAGCGACTTCTCATGGCCACTGCTGAGACCCCCACCACCTCCAGCTTCTCCCTCTTCTCAAGAAATTGGCTCAAGAGCAGATTTTTCTGATATAAACATTTTCTCACCTGTTCCCTCAGCCCGCGCGCTTAAAACGGCATCTGAGTTTTGCACAAAACACTTAAGTTTACCGTATATTCTGTCACTGCCCAAGGGGCCTCTTCCCTGGGCTGGGACCCCCGGCTGGTGGTAGGTACATTCCAGGGGGTCAGTGACTTTGTCCTTTGCTCTTGCAGTTTCTGTCGTTCGAGCTGCTGACGGAGCTGGTGCACCGGGCCCGCGTGCGCGACGCCCGCCAGTTCTCCGTGCACTTTGTCTGTGGAGGCCTGTCTGCCTGCGCGGCCACCCTCGCCGTGCACCCCGTGGATGTCCTGCGTACCCGCTTTGCAGCTCAGGGGGAGCCCAGGGTGAGTCTGGGTAATGGAAGGCGTCCCAGGAGCGGGGGCCCTTCCGAGCGGGTGTGTCGCTGGAGGAGCTGTGGGGCCTCGTGCTCCCCTCACCCCTCTGGGCCGCTGGCATCCGCTCCGCACCCTGCAGGTGCTCACAGCCTCCATGCGAGACGGAGCCCCCCAGGTGTGACATGCCGGGGTGGGTGGACAGGTGCTCCGCAAGGTGAGACTCGAGGGCTGTGTCATCAAGAGAGCGGCTTTGGTTTCCCTAAAGAATGGAGGAGAGGAAGCTGGAATCAAAGAACTTCCCTGAGTGAAAGCAAGGGATTAACCCTGCAGTTGGCCTGCCCACCAGACCTCCGTTTCCTGGACGTATGTAGGGGTGTGTGTGTGTGTAGAATAATCTTTCCAGTGTCTTCCTCCTGCAGGAGGGTTGTGTTGGTAGGGGGTGTTGCTTTGCTTAAGAATTTGATCTGGGATCAAATTAGTTTCTGTTCTGCTGTTTCTTTGTGTTGCTTGGGGTGCAGCTCCTGGGTTAGGGGAGCCCTTTTATGGCGGAGACATCGTGATGACTGGCTGAGAAGGGCAAAGCCCCTGGGTATAGTCTCGAAGAAAATGTCTGGGGCATGAGAGCTGGTTTGCTCCTTAGGCCACTTCCACAGAAAATTGGAGGTTTGGGGTGACTACCCTGGCTGAGAAACCAGAGGAGGCACCCTCTGAACTGAGCAGAGAAGTTGGGGGGCAGGGTGTGTGTAAGAAGGGAACCACATACTGGCTGCTAGGATGAAGCAAAGACAGTGGGCCCGTCCATCCCTTCCTTTCTGTGGGCTTGTGGCCCCAACCTCTCAGAAGGGGCGACAGGAGTAGAAAAGAGGGTAAAGGGCACATTCCCTCCCCAGAAATTTGGGGCCATTGGTTCTGGAATGACTGGAAAATTGCACTCGAAAGCAAGGGGAGGAGCCTGCTAATTTTTTTAAAGATTTATTTATTTGGGCCTCCCCGGTGGTGCAGCGGTTGAGCGCTGGGTTGCGAAGCTGCCCGCAGCCTCTGCAGCGCCGGTTCGATCCCCGGCTGCTCCCCGGCCACCGGAGGAGGGTCCCACATGGCGCACAGACCTCTCCTGCCGCCCGCTGCTCCCCTCAGCAGTGTACTTCGGTCCTTCTGCCTGCTCTGCTCCCCGCTCTGGCTCTGGTGAATTCTCTCACCCTCCCGCGCTTCTGATTGTACCCAGTTCTTGTATAAATAAATAAATAAATAAATAAATCTTTAAAGATTTGTTTATTTATGCATATAAGAGCTGGGGTACAGTCCAGAAGCGTGGAGGGTAAGAGGACTCCCCAGAGACAGAGCGGGGAACAGAACAGGCAGACTCACTGAAATCCACTGCTGAGGGGAGCAGCGGGCAAAACAGGAGAAGTCTGCTGCGCCATGTGGGTAGTTTCCTGGCCGGCTGGGAATCAAACTCGTGCTGCAGAGACCGGACAGCTTCATAGATTGTGTCTCCACCTGCTACCCCACCAGGGAGGTCCAGGAGGAGCCTGTTTAAAAGCTGCAAAACTCTACCGTTAGCTTCAAAATTTTAAAAGATCACCAACATGTAAGGTGTGTAAAGGTTCACAAGCCAGGTAGTTCTTCATGGATTGTGAGAAAACAAGACCAGCCGGCCCATCGCAGTTCCCTGAGGCAGCTGCTGTTAATACTTGAAGCTGCTCCATTATTTACTTCCTGATTCCCTTTTTTTTTTAAGATTTATTTATTTATACAAGAACCGGGTATAGGCCAGAGGTGCGGGAGGGTGAGAGGATTCACCAGAGACAGAGTGGGGAGCAGAACAGGCAGACTGACTGAAATACACTGCTGAGGGGAGCAGCGGGGAGACAGGAGAGGTCTGCTGCGCCCTGGCCAGGATCGAATTTGTGCCGCAGTGGCTGCAACAACTTGGTAGCACTGTCTTTAACCCCTGCGCCACCAGAGAGGCCCTATTTACTCCCTGATTCTAAGTAACGTGCCAATACTACTATTTCTCTTTCTCTTTCCTTCCTTATTTTTAAATTGAAGACATTAACTATTAACTGCCACCATGGAAGATAAGGGTTTAGTTCTTTCCTGATGCCCTCACGTTTCTTTGTGCTCTCCTCCTATTTGATTACAGCACAACTGATGAAGAGATTTTGACTAAATCAGCCCTCAGTGTTCATGCCGTTAAGTAATTGTTAAAGCTGAGCCTGCACAGTGTTGTGGTTGCATTTTCTTTGTCTTTCCTGAAGTTAGCCATTGCCTTGGGTTTTATTTGTTTAGTTTTCTACACATCTGTCGCGAATTGTGGGGTCAGCCTGTGGTCTTCAGCCCCATGTTATGGAACGATATGGAGCCCCCAGCTGGCACCCTTCACCCTCAGTTATCAGTCTGGATGGTGCCCTAGGTCTCGACAGCTGCTTGCTCAGGGATTCTCATGGGATCCCATGTTTTCTCTTTCATGATGAATCCCTTGTTTAGCTGGAGCGCATCCTGGGAAGTAGCTTCCCCAGAGAATCCTTGAATAAGAAATGCCTTTATTTTACCCTACGCTTGACTGACGACTGGATCTAGAATTCTTGCTAGCTGTCAGTGTTGCTGAAGAGAACTCCAGAAGCATCCTGGTTACTGGACTTTTTCATTTTTTAAGATTTATTTTTATTTATGCATACAAGAGCTGAGGTGCAGACCAGAGGTACAGGGAGTGAGAGGATCCACCCAAGACAGAGCGGGGAGCAGAACAGGTGGATCTACTGAAATCCACTGCTGAGGAGAGCGGCGGGGAGACTGGAGAGGTCTGCTGTGCCATGTGACTTGTTCCCTGGCCAGGGATCGACCTGAGATTTAACTCCTAGGCCACCAGGGAGGCCCAAAAAATTCACTCTTTTTGGTGTTCAGCAATATGAGTTTTGGCAAATGTAGAGTGAGCACAGTCCTGATATAAGCCGGTTTCAGTAAACCCTCCAGATTTCCCTGTGCTCCTGTTTAGTCTGTTCTCCATTACCAGCTTCCATTAACCTCCGGTCTGTGTCTGTAAAGTTTTGCCTTTCCCAGGATGTCATATAGACGGAACCGTGCCCTGTGTGGTCGGCATTGGCGCCCTTCACTCGGCGTGTGTGGTTGAGACTCGCTCATGCGCTGTATGTGCGCAGCTGAGTCCTTTATGATTGCTGAGTAGTATTCCGTTGGGTGGTTGCATCACGGTGTGCTCGTTGAAAGAGGTGGGCATTGTTCTCCAGCTGCCGGTGGTTATGAATAAATCCACAGCACACATTCTCACCTGGTATGCGAACACATGTTTCTTGGGTAAATACCTAGGATTGGGATTGCTGGGTCCGAAGGTAAGAATGTTTAATTTGGTAAGAAAAAGCCGAACTGTTTACTAAGTGGCTCTGCCATTTTGCATGCCCATCAGCAATTCCAGTGGGCCCTTATCTTCCCCAACACTTAGTATTGCCGCATCTTTATTTTTATTTTATCCTTTAAAATTTTACCCATTCTGATAGGTGTGAGTCGTGGACTCTCATTCTGCTTTCTGCGTTTCCTGTTCGTGTTGAGCTGCTGTGTCCTTGCGTGCTGGTGGGCTGCGTCTTCTCTGGGGCAGCATCTGCCTGTTTTTGTCACAGGCTGCTGGTTTTTACTTTACCAGTATTTTCTGAGTCTATGGCTTGTCTTTTCATTTCCTTACCAGTGTCTTTTGAAGAGCAGATGTTTGTCATTTTGATGCTGTCCAGTTTATCAAGTGGTTCTTTCATGGATTTTGCTTTTGGTGTTCTAGGAAATGTTTGCCTAGGGGACCCCTGGGGGCAGAGGGGTTGAGTCTCAGCGCTGTCACCACTGTGGCCTGAGATTGATCCCCGGCCAGGGAGCTACCCACATGGCGCAGCAGACTTCTCCTTTCTCCCTGCTGCTTCCCCCAGCAGTGTGTTTCAGTCAGTCTGCCTTTTCTGCTCCCCACTCTGTCTCTGGTGAATCTTCTCACCCCCCGCACCTCTGGCCTGTACCTCAGTTCTTCTACACATAAATAAATAAATCTTTTTAAAAAATGTTTGCAGGCCTCCCTGGTGGTGCAGGCAGTTGAGCGCAGCGCTGTGAAGCTGTCCACAGCCTCTGCAGTGCCGGTTCGATCCCCGCTGGCCGTGGAGTAACCCACATGGCGCAGCAGACCTCTCCTGTCTCACCCTCAGCAGTGTCTTGGGTCCATCTGCCAGTTCTGTTCCCCACTGTGTCTCTGCTGAATCCTCTCACCCTCCCACGCATCTAGTCTGTACCCTGGTTCTTGTATAAATAAATTAAAAAAAAAAAGTTTGCCTACCACGAAGATTTTCTCTCAAGCACTGTTCTGTCTTTTGTGACTCTCACCTCTGATCTATTCTATTTTTTAAAAGATTTATTTGAGGATACAGAACTGGGGTACAGGCCAGTGGTGTGGTGGGTGAGAGGATTCACCAGAGACAGAGCAGGGAACAGAACAGGCAGATGGACTGAAATCCACTGCTGAGGGAGCAGTGGGCGAAACCAGGAGAGGTCTGCTGCGCCATGTGGGTATCTCCCTGGCCTGGGATCGAACTTGTGCTGCAGAGGCTGCAGATAGCTCCATAGGTTGCTCCTTAACCCCTTGTGCCCCCCAGGAGGCCCCGCTGATCTATTTTAAAGTAGACCCTCTCCTCTTACCAAGGAGGTGGTGTCTTCTCGAAAGTCTGAGAATAGTAGTTATCACTTTGTGGGTGGTTCCTTTTTTCTTCAATTCTCTTCTTCTGTCTCTTCTTTCCAAGTTATCCCCACCCCCATTTGAGCATTTGGCCTCTTTGAAGCCTTCCCTCCAACGCCTGGTGAGCGGGGACTGCCAGCCTGGTTAGGAGGGACAGGAGCAGAGTGAGAGTCGTGGGCGCGTGGGCAGCTGTGCCCATGGCCGCCCCAGGCCTGCCCTCCCGTGGAAGTCCCCAGGTGAAGTCCTTCCTCACAGCTGGAGCTGGGGCGCGAGTGCTGAGAAGGGCAGGCCCCCCTGCTCGGCGCAGACTTTCCCTCAGTCACCCCATCCACAGGGAGCCGGGTGCCCACCCGCGCAGAGTCCGCCCTCGTGAGCATTTTACGGAACGTAGGTCTATAGAAGGCACGAGGGAGAGCCAGGGGCCTGCGGGCCTCCTGCCCAGATCTAAGAAAGCTTAAGTCTGCGCTTGTGGCAGAAAATCAAAACAGCACAAGATGGTATTAATAGTAAATCTCCTGCTGCCCCCCCTCCGTACCCCGGTTATGTTTGCCTGCGGGGAGGGGTAAGAGTGACCACCGCTGCTCCTGCTGCTGGAAGATCCCTGGGGAGGGGGGTGGCCGCCTCTTCTACAAACACTGCCCTCAGGCCTCTCCCTCATTAACCCCCTCGGGTCCTTGGAGGGGTGGCCGTGACCACCAGCCACCCGAGAACACTGACCGTGCGGACACTGGGGCGCAGTGAATGCTAGAGAGGGAGTTGCTGGAAGCGCCAGCCTCTGGGTTCTGCCCAGCATGTTCTTGACCGGCCTCTCGGCAGGGGAAGTTTCGTTCCGGGCACCGGGTTTCTAGCGAGGTGAGGGGCGGGGCGGCCGGGCTCAGCCTCCCCGCTCACTGGGCCGCATGTGCAGGTCTACCCCTCCCTGCGACACGCCGTGGTCACCATGTGCCAGACCGAAGGCCCCACCGTCTTCTACAAAGGCCTCACCCCCACCTTGATCGCCATCTTCCCGTACGCCGGCTTCCAGTTCTCCTTCTACAGCTCCCTGCAGCAGGCCTGCGAGTGGCTCCTGCCGGCCCAAGGCCAAGGCCAGACCAATGGTGAGCTGCCCCGTCCCCCAGGGCTTTCCCGTCAGAAGCTGCGGCCTCCGCCTCCCAGCCCCGCTGGTGCTTGGCCCACCACATGGGCCCCCCACACCATGACATCACCCCCTTTTTTTCCGGCGATGGTCAGGGTTCACGTTTTTGTCAGAGGAACAATCTGTAAACTGCCTGTTTTGGGGTTGTGTTTTCTTTGGGTTTGGTTGGGGGGAAGAAGGGGAACCCCTGTTCCCTCTCAAGAGGGTACCTGAGCCCCGGGGTCCTGTCTGCCTCCCACAGGGGAGGCCCCTCCCAGAGTAGTGGCCCCCCCACTCCCAGCCTGTCCAGTCTGCAGCAGGAGGGGCCAGCATGACCCTCCCTGGGCTACATTCCTCTGAGGGGAGGGTGCTGTGGGGCTTTGTTCTGTGGGGGCTGAGACCTCGTGCCCTGGAAGCTGTCTACCCTCAACTTCATTTTCCTCGTTTCCTCCTCATTGCACGTCTTGGGTTCAGGGAACCTCAAAAACCTGCTTTGTGGCAGTGGAGCCGGAGTCATCAGCAAGACCCTCACGTACCCCCTGGACCTCATCAAGAAGCGGCTGCAGGTGGGAGGTTTCGAGCAGGCCCGAGCCACCTTTGGCCAGGTGAGCCTCTGCAGACAGTGCTGACCTTTGGCCGCTACAGGCCGGTCAGGGCCCACTGTGGGAAAGGAGAAGTGGGGGCGGGGCGGGGCGGGGCAGGGCGGGGTGGAGAGGGTTTGGGGAGGGGATGGGTAATTCTAGAGCTTTCCCCTCCAGAGCCGGATCCCAGGATGCGAAGGCACGAGGAGACATGGGCCGTGCCCTTCCTGCCAGAAGGGGGGTGCCCTGGCTGGGGGGCGAGCAAGAATTGGGTTTATAGTTGCCATATTTCTCCTTTTTTTTTTTTTTAAAGATTTATTATTTATTTATTTATGCATACAGGAACTGGGGTGCAGGCCAGAGGTGCAGGGGGTGAGAGGATTCAACAGAGACAGAGCGGGGATCAGAACAGGCAGACTGACGAAATACACTGCTAAGGGGAGCAGCGGGGAGACAGGAGAGGTCTGCTGCACCATGTGGGTCAGCTCCCTGGCCGGGAATTGAACTCAGGCTGCAGTGGCTGGCGATAGCTTGATAGTGTTGAGACTTTAACCCCTGCACCACCAGGGAGACCCCATACATTATCTTTGTCAGAAAACTTAAGAAACATCAGAGAGACAAGAATAAAGTTAAAAATTAATTATATTGGGCCTCCCCTGGTGGCGCAGCGGTTGAGCGCTGGGTTGCGAAGCTGCCCGCGGCCTCTGCAGTGCCGGTTCGATCCCCAGCTGCTCCCCGGCCACCGGAGGAGGGTCCCGCATGGCGCGCAGACCTCTCCTGCCGCCCGCTGCTCCCCTCAGCAGTGCACTTCGGTCCTTCTGCCTGTTCTGCTCCCCGCTCTGGCTCTGGTGAATTCTCTCACCCTCCCGCGCTTCTGACTGTACCCAGTGCTTGTATAAATAAATAAATAAATCTTTAAAAAAAAATTATATCTAAGACTCCCCCCCAAAAAGATAAGCTCACAGAACCTTTGGCTATAGTTTTATTCCTTTGCATAAACACACGTGTACATTTGAACCAAACTGGGGTCGTACACAAGGGTCAAAACCTCCCTTTTCCACTTACCTGCTTGTCCTGACAGGACGGTCTGCATTTGGACTTGGGAGAGACAGTGAGAGTGGGAACAAAGGGGAGGCTCCGCTGCTGGGGAGGGGCTAGTGTGAGTGGGTGTGGCTGGAGATGGGAGGCCTAGGGGAGCACCCTGGGGGTGAGGGCAGGCCAGGGAGGGAAGCTGAGGCCAAGTGGTGGACCCTGAACGCCAGGCTACAGTGCTCGGTTTGACAATATCATCACTGGTGTCGATGACACCATCTTCGCAGTCACGGGGTTGCACAGAGCTGTGCCTGGGGGCACTGCCTGGCAGCAGCGGGCTTGGTAACTGGAGCGCCCAGCTGCAGGAGTAGCCTGGGCAGGCGAAGGGCCAACAGGAGGGCCAGAACCCCAAGGGAGTTTAGGTGGGGCGGGGTGAGCGGCCTCTGCCGGCAGGAGGAGCCCTGTCCAGTGCTGATTTCCAGACACGTCAGCCAAGTGGTGGCGCGCGCTTGGCAGAGAAGCATAAAGTGAACGTCTTCTCTGCGCATCCATTCCTTCACCCTGCGAGGACGAGCGGGTGCCATGGGGCGCCAAGGAAGGGGCCGACATCCATCTCTGAACCGCCCTCTCTCCCCAGGTTCGCAGCTACCGGGGCCTCCTGGACTGCGCCAGGCAGGTGCTGCAGGAGGAGGGTGCCCAGGGCTTCTTCAAGGGCCTGTCCCCCAGCCTGCTGAAGGCGGCCCTCTCCACGGGCCTCGTGTTCTCCTGGTACGAGCTCTTCTGCAACCTCTTCCACCGCATGAAGAAGGCGGACAGCTAGCTCTGCGCGAGGAAGAACAGCCATGGCTGGCGGTCACCTTCATCTCCCTCCTCCTGTTGCTCTGGGCCGCGCCACCTGGTCCAGCCTCCAGTCAGGGGCCGCAGCCGCAGCGAGCGGGACAGTAGCCCCCAGCGCGGTGGGAGGTCCTGGCTTTCTCCAAGCGACAGCATGGGAGGGACTTGGCCAGCAGCGCCAGCAGGAAGCAGGAAGTTGCTTCTCTGCCTGCTGCTTACACCTCTCAGCCCCCAGGCCTGGAACAAAACCTGGCACAGGGTGGGGCTGCAGCTAGATCTGAGGGTCCAGCGCTGGGCAGGGTGCTGGCCCCTACATTTACTTAACAGACATTAAAGCTGAAAGCACATTCCTTATTGTATCTTCCCCGTTCCTCAGCGTCTGAGCGAAGCCATCCCACCTTCCTGGGATTCCACTTTCTCAGCAGGTCCGTCGCTCAGGCAGCTTTGCTTCTAGTTCTGGAGCAGGATCCACCCACCATTTTGCTTTGTAAAGGTGCCCGTGCACCTGTCTCCTGTCTGCGCCGGCGCCTGCACGGCTGGTCTGGGCCTGGCCTTCTCAGCAGGCTGCAGAAGGGGGGCAGCTTTTCCCCAATCCACCTTACCGCCTCTCTATCACCAGGCACCGGAGTAGCCCTCCTGGAGCTGGGCTGGTCAGCATCAGCTGCCCACTCTGCTTGGCCTGCTGTGTGTGACCTCTGAAGCCCTAGAAGGGCCCTGGCTTGAAGCAGTCCAGTGGAGGCGAAGGGGGTGTTACGTGGATGGCCTGTGAGGCACGGTTGGCACCCAGGGCCCTGTCAGCAAAGAAACTCGCAACATACTCAGGAGCAGAGAAACCTCAGGAGTAGGAAAGAAGAAAATTCCCAGACACAGCTGCCACCCTTCCACCTCCCACCCACCCCAGCTCTCCTAGCCCCAGGGGAGGTTGGCCTGAGTGCTGGCTCTGCAGAGGGGTCCAGGACAGAGGAGCTGGGGTCCAGGCGGGGTCCCTGCCCTCACCCCTGGGGCCAGGCTGAGCCTTCACACTGAGCAGCTGGGAGCCGGCCTGTGTCCGGGCCACCCCCTTGCCCTGCACCTGTCCTGGAGCTGGGTGATAGGGTTGGGCCCTGAGTCCTGAAGTGTCCTTGCTCTTGGCTGCTGATTATGAAAGCCCAGGCTGTGGCACTCCAGGTCTGGGGGAGGCAACTTCCCCAAGGTCTGCTAATGAAGTGCTTGGGAGTAAAGCTTATTCTCCTCTCTCCTGCTCATTGGTTCTTTGCTGCAGCCGAACATGCTCGCCCTCGTCCATTTCCAGGTGACCACCTGGCCGTTCTCCTAACAGGAGGAGAGGACTTGGCAACACCCGCTGGCCAGGCCGCTTCGCTCGTCGTTAAGCCGGAGCAGCCCTTTGCCAGCCTCCAGGACGCCTAACTGGCCCTGACCCGGCTGCTGGGCCTGTGCCTCTCGCCCGTCTCCAGCCAGAAAGACCTAGACAGGCCTGGCCCAGACTTCGGGGTCACTCCCAGCGCCCCGTGGGCGGTGCGTTGCCCCCCCCCCAGCCCCCATCTCTGGGGCGCTGCACTGCTTTTCAACTCACTTTACCGGTGCCGCTTGTACTTGAGGTAGGAGAGGGGGTCAGCGGGGCCTGATGGGGGGGACGGGCCCGCCAACAGCCAGACTCCGGCCCCCGCCCGGGTGGGCCTCGGCCTCCGCGCGGCCAGCCCCCGGCATGGGGCTTCACGCGGGCCGAGGAGCAGGTCCGGCCCGCGCCGACGAGCCTTCGCCTTCGTGGTCGCGGCCAGGCCCGGGGCGTGCCAGGCAGGAAGGGGCAGGAGCGGCGAGGGCGGCGTCCCCGGCGTCCCGCGTCCAGCGAGGCCGCACGTCGGGGCCGGCGGGCAGGAGGGCAGCGCCGTCGAGGATCCAGAGGGTGGCGCTGGAGAGGCGGCTCCGGCCCTCTGGCCCCGCCCCCGACACGCCCCGCCCCAGGCCCCGCCCCATCGGCCGAGGCCCCGCCCCTGGCCCGCCGCCCCCGCCCGGCGCCGCGCTAGGAAATGACCTCAGCGGCGCGAGGCGCGGCCGGCCGCCAGCCCCTCCGCGGACGCGGGCGCGCGCGCCATGCCCGGCCGGCGGCCTCCGGGCGCGCGGGTGCGGGGGGCCGGCAGGTGGGTGCCGGAGACCGCGGCGCCGCTCCAGCCGCGGGACGGCGGGAGGGGCGGTCGGGCGCCGGGAGGCCGCCCAGGTCTGGGGATCCCCAAGGTCGCCGCCCCTGCCCGGAGGGGGGCGCCGTCTCCGAGAGGGGACCCCGTCGAGGACCGCCTCTCGGGGCGCATCCCCCCGCTTCCTCCCTCAAAAGGAAGCGTCAGAACAGAGTTCGGGAACTGGGAGTCCCGAGTGGGGCGGGCCGGCTGTTGCCGTCGTGGCCGCTTCAACCCGCCGTCGGGGGAGAGGCGGGCCGGGCCGGGCCGGGCCGTGGGGCTCCTGCCGGTCGGGACCTCGGGTGACTCCTGTTCCGCCCCCAGCCCGAGGCCGGAGGGGCGGGTGGTGCTGTGGACCCAGGACTCTGGCTAAGGCGGGCTCGGAACCCCGCGGGGTCAGAGCACCGCCCTCCCACTCGCGGAGCAGTGCTGGGGCCGCGGCGCCCAGGCGAGTTGACAGACGGGGCCAGTGTCGAATACTCAAGGGTCCCCACCCTCAGCTCAGCGCACCTCCCCTCCCCCAGCCCACCTGGCCTGAGTGAACCCCCTTCTTGCTGGGGCTGGAGAGCGGGCTTGGTCACCCCTCGCTCCCCTGTGTGTAACCCCTGGGACTCCTAAACGGCAGCAAGCAGGTGCCTGACTGGTGTCCTCCCAGGGGAAGCCAGCTTAGTGCGCTCTCAGCCAACCCCTCAATTCCATGGAGTGGCTCAGGAGTCCCCGCCCCACCCGCCCCCCTGCGGACCGGAGCGCGCCCCCACACTAGCCACTCCTCCCCATAGGTGCTGTCACTAGTCCCGCCCCAGTAAAGAGCAGCTGTGGCTGAGTGGTCATGGGGGAGCCGGGGCGAGAGGAGTATAAGATCCAGTCTTTTGATGTGGAGACCCAGCAGCTGCTGAAGACAGCACTCAAAGGTGAGCATGGGGAGCCCTCCTGAGCCCCAAGCAGGAGCTGCAGGGAAGGGGAAGGGGGGAGCTGAGCCCCAGCCCTCTCCCTTCACTTGAGACTAGGAGTCAGCACAACTTTCCAGCTGGAAGACCGGCTCCTTTAAGCCGGTATTTAGAGTGTGAATCACAGAGTCACCTCTCAGACTGGAAAGCTTTCTTATAGTTCAAGTGCTCCGGGAACGGGGGATTGGGGCAGAACACACAGTTCCACCCTTAAGTCTTGCGCTGACCCCTGATGCCCCTTTGATGCCGCACCAGTTCTCTTGAGTGTACCTGGCAGGGAAGACAGAACTTTTCCTGGACCAGTGCCTTCCCGCAGCACTGTGGGCAAGAAGTCTTGACTCCGTAACATTAGCAGTGCCCATCAGGTGCCAAGCTACGCCTGCAGGAGAGGCCCTGCCTGGCCGGCTCTTGTCAGGGGTTCGTGTGTGTTACAACACCAGACATTGTACTTCAGTGCTCCTTCCTCCACCTGGTGCCAGGAGATGTGTTCTCCCAGTTAGTGGATTCTTTGATTTGTCTGCGCCACACAACCCTCCCCCGGGCCACCAGGAGGCTCACAGCTGAGCTGCTCCTGAGCGTGGTGACTGTCCCTTCTTTTTTCTGGTCCCCCCCCTTTTTTTTTTAAAGATTTATTTATTTATTTATACAAGCCCTGGGTACAGTCAGAAGCGCGGGAGGGTGAGAGAATTCACCAGAGCCAGAGCGGGGAGCAGAGCAGGCAGAGGGACCGAAGTACACTGCTGAGGGGAGCAGCGGGCGGCAGGAGAGGTCTGCACACCATGTGGGACCCTCCGGTGGCCGGGGAGCAGCCGGGGATTGAACCGGCGCTGCAGAAGCTGCTGGCAGCTTCACAACCCAGCACTCAACCGCTGCGCCACCGGGAAGGCCCTCCCCCCCTTTTTTTTTTAAAGATTTATTTATGCACACAAGAACTGGGGTACAGGCTAGAGGTACCGGGGTGTGTGTGTGTGTGTGTGAGTGAGAGGATTCACCAGAGACAGAGCAGGGAACAGAACAGGCAGACTGACTGAAATACACTGCCAAGGGGAGCAGCGGGTGGGACAGGAGAGGTCTGGCGTGCCATGTGGGTTGCTCCCTGCCCGCCCAGGGATCAAACTTGTGCTGCAGAGGCTGTGGATTGCTTCATAGTGCGGTGCTTAACTCCTTGCGCCACCAGGGAGGCCCCTTTTCTGGCCCCTTTAAGTGTAAGTGTATCATGGAAAAGTTCTTTGGGCAACACCTTTAGTCCTTAGAAGCAGGTGGAGGCAAATGCGGTAACTAAACGGCTCAGACTCCCCACCCCTCTCGACCCCAGATCCTGGGGCCGTGGACCTGGAGAAAGTGGCCAACGTGATCGTGGACCATTCGCTACAGGACTGTGTGTTCAGCAAGGAAGCAGGACGCATGTGCTATGCCATTATCCAGGTAGGGGAGGGAAGGGGACGGGTGAGGCATGGAGGAAGGTGCTTCAAGGCAGGGCAGGTGTGGCCGGTGGGACCGACACAGGGCTTCCCCTCGGGCGGAGGGGGACAAGCAGGTCCTCATCTGCTTGAGCTTCAGGGGTGCGTTGGCTCGCCCTGCCCTCTTCTGTCTTCACCCCGGCTCACAGGCGGAGAGCAAGCAAACAGGCCAAAGCGGCTTCCGCCGTGGACTCCTCAACCGGTTGCAGCAGGAGTATCAGGCTCGGGAGCAGCTCCGAGCCCGCTCCCTGCAGGGCTGGGTCTGCTACGTCACCTTCATCTGCAACATCTTCGATTACCTGAGGGTGAGGCCCATTCTGCAGCCACTCAGCTTGGCAGGGACGGCCCACCTCCCACGACCACTAAGCCCACACCGCGGCCGTCGCTCTCCTTCCGCAGGTGAACAACATGCCCATGATGGCCCTGGTGAACCCCGTCTATGACTGCCTCTTCCGGCTGGCCCAGCCCGACAGCCTGAGCAAGGAGGAGGAGGTGGGTGATGCTGGCTCGGAGGGCTGGGGAGGTGGGCCGCCTCGGGCCCAGTGCACTGTCCAGGGCACAGAAGGCCTGTCAGTTACAGGACAGGCTGCCAGGCTTGGACTGACCCAGAACAGAGGGGCCACAGCCCGCTGGCTCCTAGGTTTTTCCCTGTGGGAAAGCCAGGCTCTGCGAGGAATGGCGAGCACCTTGGTCAGCTGTGGGGACCGATGACCCAGAAACCAAGCCAGGTGCAGGCAGCATGGAGAGGGCAAGTGGAGTCAGGGAGCACGTTTGGAGACAAGGCCCCAGTCCCTAAGATGTTTCCTTTTATGTAAGACGTGGCCCATCCTCACTGGCGAGAGTGAGGCGGGAAAGCTGGGCCAGGTAGGTGCCGACGGGCGAGCCTGCTGAGTAAATGGCTGCTGCGTGCCGGCCGGCCCTGTCCCGTCACCCCGCTGCTCCCGCAGGTGGACTGCCTGGTGCTGCAGCTGCACCGGGTTGGGGAACAGCTGGAGAAGATGAACGGGCAGCGCATGGATGAGCTCTTTGTCCTGATCCGGGACGGCTTCCTGCTCCCCTCGGGCCTCAGTTCCCTGGCCCAGCTGCTGCTGCTGGAGATCATCGAGTTCCGGGCAGCCGGCTGGAAGACCACCCCCGCCGCCCACAAGTATTACTACAGCGAGGTGTCTGACTAGGCTCCGGCGGGGCCTCCTCACCCACAGCACTAGCCTGTCTTCTGTCCCCCTCCACCCTGGCAGGGGGTTTGCCCCCGACACTCCCCAAGACTTCTTCCTTCCAGACTTCAGCAGCTTATACTGAGGTTTTCCCACTTATGTCCTGGGCCTGCGCGGAGCACCTTCCCTCAGCCATGGGCCTCAACACCAGGCCGACCTGCTCTTCCGGCTCAGCTGTTCCTCCCCCCGCAGGCCCACGCCTTCACCTGGGCCAGAAAGAGAAGGTCCACACCTCACACCCACCTGCAACTGCTACCTTGGTGCCTCAGTTTCCCCAACTGTAAAACGGGCACATAAAGCCACTGGCGGGCTGTTTGGGGTGTCAGGGGGCAGAGGCAGAGTACAAGTCCCACCAAAATCTTTTATACATTTTGTACAAGAACCACCTTGGAAGCAAGCCTGTGATCTCGTCAGTTTTAATGAATGGCAGCCACGTCAGTGCCACACCCGCTCGGGGTGAGATTTTCTAATAAACCATTTGTTACTAAAACAACTTCCTTGCCTGTCACCCCAAGGTCTATCCCAAGCCAAGGGAAGAGAAGACTGAGTGGGCCCCAAGGTTCTTGGGGGAAACCCCAGTTGCTAGGTTCCCTTTGTGCAGGGAGATGGGGCGCGAAAGCGATTTCAGTCCCCAAAGAAAGAACTAACGAGCAAATGTTGCTCCAGGGCAGGCAGTCCTCCGGACAACGGAACGTCACCCTTGGCCCCCAGGTACTGTGCATCGGGGCAGAGCGCCCATGGTGTCCTCTGGGGCCCTGGACCCTCCCAGAGCGCCACCCTCCCCTACCACCAGCGGTAGTGGGCCAGGGCCCGGTTGGCCTCAGCCATCTTGTGCATGTCGTGCTTCCTCTTGACCACAGGACCCCGGTTGTGAAAAGCCTCTATTAGCTCCTGGGACAGCTTCTCTGGCATCAACATCCGCCGGTGCTTCTTCTCCCTACACTCAGTGATCATCCACTTCATGGCCAGGAAGCGGCGGCGCCGGTCAGCCAGAGGCACGGGGACCTGGGCGAGACAGGACACGGCCAAGTTAGCCCACCAGGGCACTAGCCTCCTTCCTCCCTGAGCTCTGAGGAACACCCACAGGTTCCCAAGGGCTGGCCTGACAAGCCACCTGAGAAGTGGGGGGGCCTATCTTCTCTCTGAGCTTGCCTCACCCCCCCGGGTGATCTCAGTGATGCACAGACATTGCCTGAGCAAACACTCCTTAAGCAGTGGCCACTTTCACATCTGAATGGGGGCTCAGCCAAGTTGAAATAAGCACTGACTGGGAAAAGACCCATTAGCTGGAGTGACTTGGCCAACAGATCGCCTAAGGCCAACCTGAATGCCTCAAAGCAAGAAAGACCCTCTCTAAGAACCATTTTCCAAGCCTCTGCTATGTGCCAGGAAACATGCCAGGGACACGGGCATGAGAGAGAAAGTCTGTACCCTTAGAAGATTTAACTGAGAAAGACAAAACATCCACTCATGATAATGAAATGTAACTAAATGCTGTGACAGAGGCACACAGTTCATTGAAAGGTGAAGAATCATTAGTCATGGGCTAGGCACCGTGTAACACTGGCGCTCACCTGGACAAGCTAACAATGTAGGATACGGATGCTGCACAGAACAGGGGTGTGCTGGGCCTCAAGAAAGGTCATTAGGGTACTTGCTTCGCCTTCTGCCTATGACTTTTATACTAGGGGACTCAGATGAGCAGATCCTGACAGTGCCCAGTCCCTAGAGAGCGGTCAGTCTTGGCCCACCTCTGAGCCCTTCCACCCCAAGCACACCCCCTCCGCCTTTCACATGCGGGCAGCCCTGCTTTCAGCCCTGACCACTCACCTGATAGAAATGGCCACCCTTGAGGATAGGTACCAGCCCAATCACTGGCTCACAGTTTTTCAGAGCTTGGTGGAAGATGGTGTAAGGGTTGCGTTCGATGGTTGCCCGTACATCCGCAGAGGCAGCATGGTACTTCTCAAACTGCTTCCGCTTCACAGCTTCCAGAGTCTGCAAAGGGATGTGAAGAAGCTGCCCCAGGCTCCCTAGAGGGTTTACCCAGCTGAGCTAGTGCCCAGCCCTTTATTCCCCTCGTCCTGTTAGTTTATGGCAGAGTAGCTCCTCCCTCAGCAAGTCTAAGGCCAAGTTCTCCAGTGCTTCTCTCTTTGATGGAGGGGCTGAGACTGGGAATAGAGGCAGCTGCTCACTCCTGCAGGACTTCATGAGAGACCCACACACACACTGGGAAATTAATGACAGGTGTATGAATTGGCTCTTCTTTTTGTTAAACTGGAAGAGAGTACAAGCTATATGGAAAAGATGACAGACAAGAGGCACTACTCACCTGTGTCATGAGGGAGCGGGCCAGCACTTTGTTTCCTCCTTTCATCATCATGTTGGTGAATTTACTTAAAGAGAAAAGCAACACGTCTGGCCTTACTAGACTTACCGGGGGATCTGTACTGCAGACCGTCCCTGGTGTAGCCCCCTTTCAGGGAACAAGTGTTTGTTTCCATCTAACCTGATCACTGGATCTTCAAACACAGAACTTGCTTTGGTCGCTGGGGCAGCTTTGATGAGCTGAGTCTTTTTGAGCTCGCGCTCATACTTCTCCTCCTCCTTCAGCTCAGCCAAGGGCTTGCGGTAATATTCCTTGTCAATCTGGGGGTCCCTGTATTCGGGACCATAGCGGCTCCACCTCACTTGGGTTAGCCTGGGAGGGGGAAGAGGAGGAGGCTGGCAAGAGCTGACTCCACAAGTGAAAAGGCTTGACTTAACAATGGGCGTATTTGCCAGCCCGCCCCCGGTGAGCGCTGCATGGAGACCACCTGTCACACCTGAACCGCTGTAATTCTGGCTCTTGGCCAAGAGGTTGAGGGCCCGCCCCTAAACAGGCCAGGAAGTCTTCTGCCCAGGGCCAACGGTAACGACTGACCCCGCCGGTGCCTGTCTCCCTCCCGACACACAGAAAATCTTAGCCCGGGGCTCTCCAGCAAGCCCGCACTTTCAGCTCCGACTTAGAGCCCCAGCTCAGTGCAATGCCTCGGGCCAGGGGCGGCCCCCGGCCTTCAGACTGGCCAAAGTCAAGCAGCTAGTCACAAGGCTTGAACCCAGACACCCGCCCCTTGCGCAGCGGGGTCTCCGCGCGACCTTCCTGCGGCCCATTTCTTTCCCCTCGGGTCTCTTCATGACGACCCAGCCGCCCCCATAGCTGCCCGCCGCCCTCTCACCCCGGAAGCCGCAGGACAGCGCTCCGCACGCCCAGCGCCAGGCCGGACCAGCCTCGCGCAGCCCTCACCGCGGGGGCAGCCATCTTGGCGGGGCTCGAGGACCCCGCCAGGGCTGCCCTGGGCGTGCCTGAGCGAGAGACGGGGGCCCAGGGCGAGGCACCGCGCGTCCTACCCCTGCGCGTCACCCCATTCGTCTGGCCGCTAAAAGTCCCTCATTCCGTGGCCCAAAGGGAAGAGCCTGACGGAGCCGGCAGCGCTCCCGCGATCCGTCGCCGCCGGGCGCGAGCCTCGGGGGTGGTGCTTGCGCCTCTCAGGCCCCCATGCAGGCCCCGCCCCGGCCCGGCTCTCGCGGGCTCTCGCGAGGCTTGAGGCCGCGGGGCTGGCCCGGGCGGCTGCAATATGGCGGAGGCGGAAGGGGAGAGCCTGGAGTCCTGGCTGAGTGAGTAGCCGCGGCCGCTTCTGCCTGCCCTCGAGCTGTCGAGGGGCCCCTGTCCGCACCCCTGCACCCGCCCCCCGGCCCGCGGCTGCGCCGCCCGGCCGCCCGCGCCCGGGCTCGCTCCCGCCGCCCGCGCTCCGCGCGCACGCCCCTTCCCCAGCGGGGCGCCCGGCCCCTGCTCCCCGCGCTGCGGCGCGTCCCCGTCGTCCCGGGCCCCGCGGGCGCTGGGCAGGGACGGCCGGGTCGCTCCCGCTGACCTGCGGCGGCGCGCTGGGGAGACTGGTGGGGCGCGCGCCGGCGACTCCCGCACCCCTGCGCCTCCATCCCCGCCGAAGGGCAAAGCCCGGGCTGGGGCTGCGACCCTGCGCGCGGGGTGCCGCTGAGCGCACGCTCGCCGCTTCAGAATTGCGGCCTCGAATTCGAGGAGAGGTGACCGCTTGGTGCGGGCAGAGGGTGTGAAGTGGAAATAACCCCGATGTGTGTGAAGCGGAAATAAGCGCGATGATGATGAACAGAGCGCTCTACCCTTTTCCTGCGGGACCGACGCATGCTGAAGTCTGGGCTGGGGTACCCCCCCCCCCGCGCGCACGGACACTCGCTCTCACCCACTTGAACATCTCAGCGAGTTACTCCTTGGTACCCACCCTGCAGCTGAAGAGCGCGCTCTGATGCTGTCGTGATAGCGGCCTGTTGCTGTAATTGCTAATTCATGTTGCTCTTAGCAAATGTGCCAGCCTCGTCAGCACGTCTTTCCTGTGAAGGGGGAATAAGTGAACCCTCCTGCAGGCTGGAGGAGGCCCCTGGAGGCCCCTCTGAGGCAGAATTGGACGGAGCGATGAGACAGGGATGCCTAGGTACTGTCTGAGGCAGAGATGCCTTGTTTACAGGAGCTGCCCAGCCCGTGCAGGTGATGGCTCTTTCCCCCCATGAGGAGACCCCTTTCAGGGGGTGGGACCCAGGTTACAGCTGCACAGCCTGCCTTGCGGGCGGGTCACAGCCATCCTCATATATGGATTTGTTCTCCGAGGAGCTCAGTGTTCCCAAGACAGTCACAGGGTTCATTTGTCAGGCTTCCTAGTGAGCAGGTGCTGACGTCACAGTCGCACAGAAAGAAGACACCCGGCGCTAATCAAACTGCTTGTCCTCAGCCACTCCCCCAGATAGAGCCACATTGGAATTGGTTCTTTTCACAGATTTTAATGGGGACATTGGATTAGTTTAAGTGAATAATCTGAGTTAAATAGGATAGGCTAGGTTTAGCCTTCTGTTTTGCAATAGGAGAGGGAGAGGCCTGTTTTTGAGGGAGAGTGGCTGTGCTGAGGCTGAGACTGACCTTTGGCCCTTCACCTTCGTAGTCACATTGGGGCGCCTTCCATTCTTACCCTCCACCTGCACACTTCTTACAACTTAATGGTGCGAATGCCACTCCATGGTGTCGGGCACCGCGGAAGCCTCTGCTTGGTCACTGTCTCAGGGCTCATCACCCACCCTCGTCCATCCTGCTGCCTCTGGCTTCCTGGGGTGCTTCCCGGTTTGGACAGTCAGTTCTTGTCCCACTAACCATGTTGCGCTGCTTGCCGGGAAGCCCTGTTCTCCTTTGCTCCGGTACTGTAGAACCCAGCCCCGATTCTCCTTCCTAGCAAACTGCCTCTTAATGACCTCTGCGCTTACCTCAGTCAGAAATACCTGCTGTGAGGTGTGAAGAAAGTTAAGTTCAGGTAGCCCTTCCCTCCAGTTTGATGAGCCGATGCTGGAATGGATCAAGAATTCTTAAATAAAAAGTTAGATTTCAGACAGTAGCCCTCAGTGCTAAAACGCACTTTCTTGAGGAAATGTGAGGGGCCAGGGAGATGAAAGGTGATTCTGAGGAGACCGCATTTGAGCTAGACTTTGAAGAAGGGGGCGGGGTGCAGAACGTGCCACGAAAACACCAGACGAGGATGGAGGAAACCTCGTGTTTGGGGCACAGTCCCAGTTCTTGCGGGATCATGGTGGAAGACAGAACTGAGAAGTTAGGACCAAATTCTGGAAAGGCTTGCGTTCTAGCCCAGCTTAAATTTCTGAAGCTGTCAAGTCCCCTTTCCTGTGACGCAGCCACATCTGTTCCAGGATTGACGTAGGTGCTCTGGACAGGATGTGTGGGAGCAGGGGAGAAGGCAGGACCTGGAGTGGGGCAGGGGCAGGGAAAGGAGACGCAGGGGGAGCCTACTGGGCTGACGCAGAGAGGAAGGAGGAGTCCGCGGTGGGGCTTCAAGCCCGGGTGCCTGGGGGTGGACGCCAAAAAGAGCTTTTGAATGGTGGCGGCGTGTACAGAAATAGGGAAGTCACGAAGGAGAAGCGATGACTTTGTGTTCAGACTCATCTCTGTACCAAATTAGCACTTGTAATTCCATGCTGTCTCTTTTTTTGGTCCGGTTATTTCTCGTGTGGAGACATGCCCCAGTAGTCAAGGCCAGCGATGGGATGAAGCCGACGACAGCAGGAAATCTAGGGGCGCACACACGGGAGAGAGTAAGACTGACACCAGAGACGGCCGAAAATAGACTCCTCTGCGCAGAGCAGAGGGTGGTTCTAGAAGGAAGGATCTGTGTGGGAGGCCCTGGCATCACGTCTGCGCAGGTAGAGCGGAGCGTGGAGAGGTTTGAAGGCAGCTGTGAGCCTCTGCTGGGGAGGCAGTGGCAGGGGGAGAGGTGGAGACACCCAGAACGATCCCCAGAGGTTTCTTCCGGTTCCCGGGGGTGACCAGTCTGCTCTCCGAGCCGGAAAGACACTCAGAAGAGCGGCCTGCGGCGGCTGAAACCAGGCCTTTCTGTGCCTTGTGTAGGCAGAGCTCCCTGCAGCTTCCCCCTGGGAAGGTCTGTCGAGGTGAGAGGAAGTGGGATTCCAGAGAAGGTGAAAAGAAGCGAGAAGCGGGTGGGCGTCCCCCCGGAAGCTGAGCTGCTGTCGGCCTTCCCGCTCCCCTGGGAAATGGGTGCTGGTGGTGCCCGTGGCCCTGTGCGAGGGGGTGGAGGGCGCGTCTGCACTTCGTTCTATCTGGAAGGTGCTTTTCCGGTGCGCACGGTGGAAGCGCGCAGGCTCACTTCTCAGCCCGTGAGGGGTGTGGCTGTTCTCAGCCCGCGGGGGTGGGGTGGGGTGGGGCGCCCCATCACCTGACTTCTGCACCCGCAGCCTCGGGTCACGTGAGCGCTTCCAGCATCTCAAATGATAGGGATTGGTGGGCAGCCACCTGGCCTGGGGAGATTTCGGACCGCTGGCGGGACAGACTCTGGTTCCTGGGGAAGGTGACAGCTAGGTCACGGCGGTTTGTATCGCCACTCTCCGTAGAGTCAGTCTCCCGGCTGCCTTGGCATTTTTTTTAAAGATTTGTTTATTTATGCATACAAGATCTGGGGTGCAGGCCAGAGGTGTGTGGCGGGTGAGAGGATCCACCAGAGACAGAGTGGGGAGCAGAGCAGGTGGCTCACATGAAACACACTGTCGAGGGGATCAGCGTGGAGACAGGAGAGGTCTGCTGCGCCGAGTGGGTAGCTCCCTGGCCGGCTGGGGATGGAACTTGTGCCGCAGTGGCTGGCGACAGCTTGATAGCGCTGACTTTAACCCCTGCACCACCAGGGCGGCCCCCAGCTTGGCATTTTGGAGGATTTTCTAATTCTCTTTTCAAGAGCTGATGTGTGTCTCATCCGCGAGCCTAAACCTGAATCTTCCTGCAGCCAGAGCAGAAAGCACCCGGCTGCCTGCCGTGCCCTGGGCTGTCTGCCTGGGCTGCTTGGTGTGGCAGGTCTGCCTCCGCCTCCGGTGGTGTCTGCTGACCTCTTGTGGCTTAGAGCCCTGTTTTGAGGGCCGGGGGTGCTGTGAGATTCTGTTAATATTTGGTCATTGAGCAGGTGGTTTGGTTTTGTTTTGTTTTTAAGATTTATTTATTTATGCAACAAGTGCAGGTCAGAGGTGTGGAGGTGAGAGAATTCACCAGAGACATTGCGAGGAACAGAACAGGCAGACTGACTGGAACACACTGCTGAGGGGAGCAGCGGGCGAGACGGGAGAGGTCTGCTGCTCCCTGGCGCTGAGACAACCCCTGCGCCACCAGGCCCGCTTCTTGTTTTCTTTGCTCAGCGAAGACCTTTGAAACTTGAGGTTGCTGAATATGCTGGCAGTTGGTCAGTCTGTTTCTGTGATCTCAGGAACAGACAGTGCAATGATGGGTGCTTGGTAGGGCATCCCGAACCGTCTGCTTCAAGTGAAAAGCAGTATGTACACGTTTTAAAATGTTTAAGGCATAAAGAAGGTTAGGCCTTTTTATTGAAGATCACATAGAAAATATTTATGTTTCCTAAGTGTGTATTTTTTTTTTTAATTTATTTATGCAGAGCCTCCCCGGTGGCGCAGCGGTTGAGCGCTGGGTTGCAAAGCTGCCCGCAGCCTCTGCAGCGCTGGTTCGATCCCCGGCTGTCGGGCGAGGGTCCCACGTGGCGCGCAGACCTCTCCTGCCGCCCGTTGCTCCCCTCAGCAGTGTATTTCGTCAGTCTGCCTGTTCTGCTCCCCACTCTGGCTCTGGTGAATCCTCTCACCCTCCCACACTTCTGACTGTACCCAGTGCTTGTATAAATAAATGAATAAATCTAAAAAAAATTATTTATGCACACAAGAGCTGGGGTACAGGCCAGAGGTGAGGAGGGTGAGAAGACTCACCAGAGACAGAGCGGGGAACAAAACAGGCAGATTGACTGAAATACACTGCTGAGGGGAGCAGCGGGGAGACAGAAGTCTGCTGCGCCATGTGGGTTGCTCCCTGCCAGCCCGGGGATCGAACTCGTGCTGCAGAGGCTGCAGATTGCTTCATGGTGCGGTGCTCAACCCCTTGCACCACCAGGAAAGCCCCTAAGTATGTAGTTTTCATCTAGCTCCTTCTGACTTTGTTTTCTCCAGGAAATACTCCTTTTCACATCATTGGCTTTATCCGTATTTGTTACATTAAGGGATCTAGTTTGTGACTATTTTAATCATTTGTTTCTAATTCACACTGTCAATTCTGGTCTAAGCTTCATGAAACAGGATTTCTCTTGCATGTGTGGCTTTGAATTGCACGACAAAACTGGTATTTGCAGTTGACTTGCTACTGGACTGAACGATTCAGGCTTCTCTGTTCCAGAAAAAATTCAGAAGAAAACTTCCAATTGGGGGGAAACTGTGTCCTCGTTCTTCATAGCAATCACCCTCTTCTTTCTTTGACCCAAGACAAAGCCACCAACCCTTGCAACCGCCAGGAGGACTGGGAGTACATCATGGGCTTTTGTGATCAGATCAACAAAGAGCTCGAAGGGTGAGTCGCAGAGCCTTCGGGGCACATGAGGCGGGCCCATCAGAAAAGTCGGGGCCGGTCCTCCAGCCCCCTCAGCGTCCTAGAAGCGGTCTGCTTGTCTCCTAGGCCACAGATCGCTGTCCGCCTGCTGGCCCATAAGATCCAGTCTCCTCAGGAATGGGAGGCGGTCCAGGCCCTGACGGTAGGTTCTCCATGGACAGAGATCCGTGCGCCAAGCCTTCCCTTACACACCCGGGCTTCTCGGCCTCTAGAAAGGCCTTGAGACGAGCTCCATGTCCCCGGAACATGTCCAGCTGCTCTTCCACAAACGTGTTTGCCCTGTGCCCGCCACTGAGGCTTCAGCAATCCCTGCCAGCCTGGTCTGAGGTCTCGTGGGAGAAGTCGGCTGCACGGGGAGCGCACAGGAACCTTAAAAAGGCGCTGACAGAGCCGTGCTGCCAGTCACAGGGGCCAAATGGACCAGTGTGGCGAGCGTGATTCTCCTGTGGAAACCATGCTGGTGGCTCACGAACGTGCCGCTGTCGGGCCAGTCTTAGTAACTGTTCAGACTGAGGGACTTGCAGCTCTGTGGTGCTTGGGTGCCCCGATGCACCCCTAACCAGGCTGCCTCCAAGTTCAGAGGCGTCTCAGGCGCTCTCCTGACTTCATGCAGGCCCCGGAAAGACGAAAGAGGGCAAATGGTTGGGGCAGAGCGCTCGGGGGCCCTGGTGCCCACCTGTTGTGTTCCCCGTTCAGGGATGCCCTAAGACCGGTTCTGCCCCAGCGGGCACTTGGTGCTGCCTGCAGACTCCTGGTGTCACATGGGGGTGGCTACTGGCATCTGGGGGTGCCGGCCAGGATGCCGCACGCGCTGGGAGGCACATAGGAATGTACGCGCGATGGGCGTCACGACGACAGCCCCGGGGGAAGAAGCAGCGAAACGAGCAGCCGCTTTACGGCGGGAGCCCGGGCCGGCGGCTGAGCGGGCGGCGCCGGGGCAGCAGGAAAGCTTCGGGCCGCGGGATGCGCCGTGAAGGGCGCGAATGGGAGCAGGGGCCGGGGAAGCACCGCGTTCACTCATGAAAACAACTTAAACTCCCCGCCTCGCCTCCCCAACCGCTGGTCAGCTTGGGGGAAAAGCCCTGGACCCGGAGCCTAAGCTGTCTCTGGGCCTCCGTTTCCTCCTCTGCGACACACGAGGGCAGACGCCCCCGGGACGAACGGCTCGCCTGCCTCGCTGGGTGTGTTTCTTCGTTCCTGCCGCGTCCCCAGAAGCGGGGTGCAGCTTGGGGGGCCTGGGGTATCGGGAACTTCCCCAGGTCCGACCCCTTCCTTGCGCCCGTGTGCAGGGACCCGGCTGCACGCAGACGTGACCAGACGCCCCCCGTGAGCCTCCCCTTTGTGTGGCCACAGGTGCTGGAGGCCTGCATGAAGAACTGCGGGCGGCGGTTTCACAACGAAGTGGGGAAGTTCCGCTTCTTGAACGAGTTGATCAAAGTCGTCTCGCCAAAGGTCAGTCGGGGGCACTTCGCTCCCCTCTGGGAAGCGGGCTCCTGCCTTCCCCCATCTCAGCGGCTCCTGCAAAACCAGCATCTCCGTGGGGCTGAGCCCCTCCGCGAGCTGCCGTGGCGAGCTCGGCCCCTGACGAAGCCGTTGACCGTGCGGGCCCAGGGACGGCTCCCAGCCGGCGTGCGGCCATGCGCCTCCTCCCGGCACACAGTGGGTGCTTTTCCTCAGCCTCCTGGCTGCAAGGAGCTGGCCGCCCTGGCTTTCAGCTTGGACTGTTGCACGGGAGGGTCGATGAAGCTCCGGGCGCCCACTGGGAGCAGAGAGGATGGGCCTCACATAAGACGTTCTCCACTCCTGCGGGCCAGGCCCGGGTGGCTACCGCGAGGCGGGTGGTGGTCCCTCCCGCTCGGAGCAGGCTGGTGGCTGCCCGCTGTCCCCCGCTCCCGCGCTGCGGGGCGCCTCCTCCCTGCCTGCCTCCGGGCCGCGGCTGCTAGGGTTTCCCGCTTCTTGCCTCTTAGTACCTGGGGGACAGAGTGTCTGAGAAGGTGAAGACCAAGGTTATCGAGCTGCTGTACAGCTGGACGCTGGCCCTGCCGGAGGAGTCGAAGATCAAGGACGCCTACCACATGCTGAAGAGACAGGGTACGTACCTCCCTTCCTGCAGCTGGCTAAGACCAGGGAAGCGTTGGGGAGCCTGCGATCCCCCTGCTGCTCGCCGCCCCCCGCCCCCCGCCGAACAGGAAGGGCCGGGCTGAGACAAGGTCAGGGCAGCCTGCTCCGCCCTGCCCGCTCTCGAGGCCTGGGTCATCAGGGTGCGCGCCCCTTGTCGTGTGGTCAGGACCCGCGTGGTGGCCCGGCCGAGCAACCCTGCCCGTTTGTCCCCTTCCAGGCATAGTGCACGCCGACCCGCCCATCCCCGTGGACCGGACACTGATCCCATCGCCACCACCGCGCCCCAAAAACCCTGTCTTTGACGATGAGGAGAAGTCCAAGGTAAAGCACATCCCGGGCCTCAGAGGACAAGTGGCAGCAGCCGGGCGAGGTGGGGTCTCGCTCGGTGCTGCGCCAAGCTCCAGTTGCCGTGGTCTCCCCAGGTGGGGTGCCACCCTGCCCCTAAGAGACCCTCGTCTTCTAGCTTTTAGCCAAGTTGTTGAAAAGCAAAAACCCAGATGACCTGCAAGAGGCCAACAAGCTCATCAAGTCTATGGTCAAGGAGGTGAGCGGACCAGGAGCCCGGGGGGCACGGGCTGGACGCGCCAGCACCGGAGCAGCGGTCTCAGGCCGGGCCGCTGCCCCCCAGCACTGCCGAGCCTGGAGGCACACGAGAGCCGCCCGGAGAGGCCAGCGGGGGTGGGAGGGGACGGGGCTGAGCTGGGGGGCTGGGAGGGGCCTGTTATTCTGAACAAAGGCAAGACTGGCTCTGAGGTCTGTCTTTCCCTCCGCCCTCGTGGCCTAGGGTAGGGGCCGTCCTCGGATGGGGGGGCGGTGGGATGAGGCCTTCCTCATCGCTCCTCCTGGCCGCAGGACGAGGCGCGGATCCAGAAGGTGACCAAGCGCCTGCACACCTTGGAGGAGGTGAACAACAACGTCAAGCTGCTCCACGAGATGCTGCTGCATTACAGCAGAGAGGAGTCTTCAGAGGCCGACAAAGAGCTCATGAAGGCAGGTCCCGGGCGGGAGCTGGCTCGGCCGAGGTGTGGCCTGAGGCCTGCTGCGCGGCCACTGTGGGCGAGCCGGTCAGCACCGGCGCCCCACCCGACGCAGGCCCCGCCGACCCAGGGTGGGGGAGCTGCCGCCCCCTGCCTGCTCCCGGGGCGTGGGCAGAGGCCCTCCCCGTGTCCCGGTGCTGCACCTCACGCCAGGGTCGCTCTGCTCTGCGGCGCCGGCCTGGAGGGACCGTCCCCTGCGAGGGTCTTGGGCGGCGCGGGGGAGCCGGCGGCAGGCGCGCCTTGCTCTGGGCCCGGCCCTGGCGGTCCCCGAGTGCGGCTCTCGGGAGAGCCCGCGCCTTCCCGGGTGGGGCGAGGGGCCGATGATCCCGGGGCGTTACCAGCCGTTCCGTGCCCGGCCGCTCGCAGGAGCTGTTTGATCGCTGCGAGAGCAAGAGGCGGACGCTGTTCAAGCTGGCCAGCGAGACCGAGGACAACGACAGCAGTCTGGGTGAGGGGAGGGGACAGGCGTGGACGGGGACCGGGGATTTGGGCGCGCGCCGCCGCCACGAGCGAGGGGTCTCTTCTGCAGGCGACATCCTGCAGGCCAGCGACAACCTCTCGCGGGTCATCGGCTCTTACAAGGCCATCGTGGACGGGCAGGTCGTCAACGGAGAGGTCCCCGCCTCAGCCGGGCCCGAGGCAGAAGGTGAAACGTCCGCGTCCCCCGCCGGCGCGGGCTCAGACCGCCCAGGTGTCATCACACCCTGCAGATGGGGTCCCTGGCGCGGGCACCCTCTGTCCGGCCAGGCTCCATGGCACAGCCACGGGTCACCCCTGATTGTTCCCGTCCCCCTCCCTGTGCCCGCCAGGACCCCAGCACCCCGGCAGCCAGGGCGCGCTCATCGACCTCGCGGAACTGGACACGCCCAGCCACTCCTCCCCGGGGCTGGCCCCCGCGCCCGCCCCCTCGGGCATCCCTATCCTGCCCCCGCCCCCCAGACCTCCGCGCCTCCGCGCAGCCGCTCGTCCAGCCAGACCGAGGCGCCCCCGGGCCCTGCCAGCACTGGCCTCTCCCTGCTGGATGAAGAGCTGCTGTGCTTGGGTGCGTCCTGGGGAGAGGCCGCGCGGGCAGGCCGGGCCGCGCCAGAGACGGTGGCGTGGCTTGTGGGGAGTCGAGTTCGGTGCCCTCTGGCTACCAGGGCTCTGGAGCTCCAGGGCGGGTACAGTGAGCAGGGTGTCCCCCTTCTGCCCTGCACGGGAGAGGGACTCCAGGGGCGGCTGCCCAGGGAGCGCCCCCCCGGCCTGCCGCCTGTTACCGGCACTTTTGTCCTGAGCCTTCCCGGGCCGGATGGGGTGAGGCTGCCCAAGCCCAGAGCCTCATCTCGGCGTCCTCTCCGTCCTCAGGCCTCACCGACCCGGCCCCCAGCGCTCCTCCCAGAGAGGCGGCTGCCAACAGCCAGTGGCCCCTGATGCAGGTAGGGGCCCAGGTGCCATCGCTGAAGCCCAGACAAGCTTCACTTGTGAGGGTCCTCGCTCCCAGACTAGAACCCTGGGCACCTGCTTGGCGCGGGGGCGGGGATGGGGGACCGGCCTCGGCTCACACCTAAGCCTGGAGAGTGGCCGGGTGCGCAGAGAGCCGCACCCTTTGGTGTCACTTTCCTCTCCCCTAGAACGAGCAGTCGGACCTGGACTTCTTCAGCCCTAAGCCCGGGACTGCTGCCCGTAGCCCCTCGGACAGGCCTCTCCTCCAGCCCGCGGCCCCCTCAGGCAACAGCCAAGCTCCACTGCCGCCCCCCTTCCCAGCACCTGCACTCCCCGCCGGCCTTCCTGCCCCCAGCGCTGGCGCCTACTTGTTCCCTACGGGACTGGCCCCGGCCCCCAAGGCTGACCCCACAGCCCCGGGATGCCACGGCTCCCCTCTGGGCGACAGCAGCCCGCACCAGCTGGATGCCCTGGACCAGCTCCTGGAAGAGGCCAAAGCGTAATGAGTGGGAGGCGCCGGAGGGTGGGCTGGGCGGGCCCAGCAGCGGCTCTCGAGGGAGGCTGGCTGTGGTTTGAGCCGTGCGCTGGGGCAGCGTGACCGTGCACACTGGCTTCGTCCCTCCCGCCTCCAGGACGTCAGGCTTGGGGAAACCCAGCTCCTCCAGCTTCTTCCCTGGGGCCGCGCCCGTGAGGCCTCGCCTCCCCTTCTCCCCGGGGCCCGAGAGCCCGCTCTTCCAGCCACCCGCCTTCCAGTCCCACGGCAGCCCTGTCAAGGGGCCTGAGCTCTCCCTGGCCAGCGTCCACGTCCCCCTGGAATCAATCAAGCCTAGTAGGTGTTGCAGGCTGGGCTGGGGCGGGGCGGGGCGGGCGGGCACAGCCTTTCCTTGCTGGGCTGCCTCAGGGCCAGTGTGACCCGCTGATATGCTCTCTTGGCCTTTGCTATTGTTGCCACTGTGCACCCACGGAGGTTTGTTCCCAGACGCCTTCAGGAGCCTCGTCTCCACAGGGCCGCCCTGCTCTCTCCAGGGCTCTGTCGGGGACCTGTGGCGCTCTCGCCTTCCACACTACATGCCACCTTCTTACAGGCAGTGCCCTTCCTGTGACAGCCTATGATAAAAACGGCTTCCGCATCCTCTTCCACTTTGCCAAGGAGTGTCCACCCGGACGGCCTGATGTGCTGGTGGTGGTGGTGTCCATGCTGAACACGGCTCCCTTGCCCATCAGGAGCATCGTGCTACAGGCTGCAGTGCCCAAGGTACCCCAATCTGCTCCAGAGGCAGAAACCACCTAACCCGCTGTGCCAGTATCTTGTGTACCCACTGTGTCCACACTGGTTGCCTTCTGGGTCACTCTTCAGAGAAGCTCCTCTCTCCCTGTAGTCCATGAAAGTGAAGCTGCAGCCGCCCTCCGGGACAGAACTGTCTCCATTTAGCCCCATCCAGCCACCTGCAGCCATCACCCAGGTCATGCTGTTGGCCAATCCCCTGAAGGTGAGCTAGAACCAGAGGTCCCAGCCCGATACGTCCCAGCGCGAGCCCACATGAGGATGGGGTGGTGGGCACGGAAGGGCCCCAGGGTCATGGAGAAGAGGCCGTCTCACGTGCTCCCCCTCTGCCGCAGGAGAAGGCGAGGCTTCGGTATAAACTGACCTTCACTCTGGGGGAGCAGCTGAGCACGGAGGTGGGCGAGGTGGACCAGTTCCCTCCTGTGGAGCAGTGGGGGAACCTATGACCTAGAGGATGCTGTCATCTCCACTTGGCAGCCAGGACAGGCTGTCCTCAGCCAGAGGGTTCTGGGTCACTCTCCATGTCCCGACTGCAGTGCTTACAGCTTTGATGTGGAACAAGGGGCCCTGGGCTTTTCTGCTAAGAGTCAAACCGCTGCTGTGAGAATCCTCCTTTGGCCCCTAAAAGGACCTGGTTTTCTCTACCTGTGTGACTTGAACTGGCCACGTACCATCAGGGTGGGGAGTGGCCCCAGCACTACAGTCCCGGGAACATGGACCCAAGGCTGGAGTCATTTTTTGCCCTTATGCTGGAACCCCCTGCCGCCACGAGAGGGGAGAGCGCGCTAAAGAGAGACGTGGGGCCTCTCACAATCCATGGGGCACTGCTTTGGAGGCCTCAGCCCCCGTCACGACGCTGCTTCCCCAGCTGGCAGGCTCTGGCTCCTACCTGCAGTGAGGTGGGCACATGAACCGGTAGGTCCCGGGCAGCAGGAAGGAGTGGTGTGCTGCCGAACCTCCAACCTTGCCGTTCATGGGCAGCGTCGTCCCGGACCAGCCACTGCATGAGAAGTTGTGTGCTTGTCCCTGGCAGCGGTGGGCTGTGTCCTGTGGACATCGCAGTAGGACATGGGACTTGGCCTATTAGAAACAGAACTTGGCCTCATGGCAGCTAAACTGGGGATAGGGAAAAAAGTGAAGAGAATCAGTGTTTCCCTTCTCCCAAAGCAGGTATTCATCCAGAAGCAGGTACCTCCTGCCATGGGAACAGGCCATCCTACTCACTACCTCTTGCTTGGCATGAAATAAACTTGTGTCCTGCCCTGCCCTTCCAAGTGTCTGAAGGGGAGTGCAACTCCTGCCACCTCTGTATGTACAGGCCCCACCCCCACTACTCCCACGGCCTGTGGTGTGGCACACCTACAGAGGGGCTAAGAGGCCTCTGTCAGGCACACCACGCTAACGTCCTTATCCACTCCCCAGAAACTCCCGGCTGTCCCCACCGCTGAGCGGCACTGTGCGCGAGATGTTGGGTCTGGGGGTGGTGACATTGGGGGCTGTGCTTGATGGAGTCACCAGACCCTATTGCCTCAACAGTGTCAGCCCCATAGCTTGTGCCAGCTGCTTGTTCCCTGGATGCAACTGGGCCAGGGACTCCAGGCAAGAAGATGCGCAGAGACTGAGGAGTGCAGCAATCATGTGCTCCGCCTCACAGGCGGAGAAGCACAGACCCTCACCCTCTGCTGGGAAGTGTGCATCCATCCTGCCAGGGTTCCCCACCATTTCACCCGGCCCCAGGCCCCCCATCTTTAGCAGGTCTCACTGCTTCACACGGACAGGTCAAAGTGGGTTGATTTCACTCATTAAGGAATCAATCTAAAAGCTTTCCACAGACTGACTGCTGCAGCCCTGGGAGGCCTGTGGGATACTAGGTAGAAATGTTCTTTATAATGGGACTTAGACATTAAAATTATTTGAGTACAACTCAAACACTACTGAGGTCACTGCTTCATGACAAACAGCTGTACTAGATATACCAACTGTGCTGCCCTTGTTTTGCTGCATGTTCAATAAAACCATTTTGCCCCTACCTAGAATCCTTCTGACAGGCACCATTCACCCCAATGGGGGAAGGTGCCAGCTAGAACTCCAAAATACAGAGACTCCTAGGCCTCCTTTTTCAGAGAAAATAGCCAGAAAGCAGGTTTCCAGATGATTCTAAGATGAAGCCTGATTTCAGGAGCACAGGTAAACCACTGAGGACTGAAGTAGTCAGTACCCTCCTGCCTATAACTTCTGGCGGTGGACTTCTCTAAGGAAACAAGGGAACGAAGTCAGTTCCATGTCACAGAACATGAAGCATTTTCTTAATTTTTCTATCTCTAATTGCCTTATATTTGCATAAGAAAACATTTATTCTTTTTAAAAAAATTATATACAAAGATACCATGTTGGAGCAGCCCTCAGAACACCTCAGGAACCTTCCAGTGAGCCTTCTTTTATAATTGCCCGAGCAAGATTGCGTGCCAGAGCAAGCCTCAGCATTTCCACTTTGGTGGTTTCTATGTCGTCGTCCTAAAAGAAAACGAGCAAGCGTGAGGCTTGGCAGGTTGCACTTGGTCTCTAAGGCTCCCGAAGGCTCTAGCTAACCCAAAGGTAGAGGCCACTTAACATCAGGACTAGCTGCCAGGAAGGCTGCGAGCTGATGATGGTATGCAAGGGACCGCTGTTACTCGTCAAGAGGAAAGATAAAGAGAGAACAGGACACTAATATCCTCTCATTTTCTCCAAAAAGAAGTCGGTGTGTCACAATGACAGGTGAAGAGACAACTAACTGGTGCATGAGTTTATAAGGAGCCAGTTTCTGGAGAGAAGCCCAGAAGGGGAACAATTTCTTTCTCTCTATGGAATCACCAACCCAGGAAATAACCTGGAGTCGCTGGACATCAGGTTCTCCACGCACTGGTCTTCCTGAGGTCAAGTCCTCCAGACACCGCATCAGCTCATAGGTTTGCTCTGCTGAGAATATCACCTGAGAGAGAGAGACTGGCTTAGCTGCGCCCAGCTATGGCCTGCACTGGCGTGGACGCGGACAGCCATAGCCTTCCTCTAGTGCCCTTTGCATCTGCAACCCAGGAAGGTCAGGCAGAGAGCCCGATTCTCATTCCCAGCCCTTCTCATCAGGGTCCTGGGCTGAATGTTGTCTGCAGAGAACTACCTCTCTACCAGTGGTTTTTCTTCTGTGGATACTGGATTTCCAGGGTGGGTGGGTCGGGGACGGGCACACAGAGAACTCTCTGGGAGAGGGTGTGTGCACAGAGCAACACTGCCGCACCCGCTCCATAGCGCACTGTCAACGACTCCGAAACACAGAAACCCACTGCACTCAGCCTGTACCTGTTTCTGTTCCAAAAGCGGCAGGGCATCGGTTAGAAGTGTCATCCAGAAAGAGCGTGGGGCAATCCGAGAAGTCATCAGAGACAGGAGGAGAGAGGCAGCATCCACAAAGCGCTTCTCGCCATATAATCTGTGGAACTCGCGGTACTTCCCTATTAGGAGAGAGTGCCAGATCACTTCTGACCCTACACAAGACTCCATGCCAGTCATTCTCCAGAACAGAGAGACTCTGCCACAGCTATCTCCAAACTCATGGAGCTGTAAGACTGAAAGACGTGGAAGGTCGTCCAAAAAGCACCACAGAGCATGCATGCATCAAAATAAAAGAATCGGAGACTGGAACAGACTGAATGAAATACCCCACAGCCACTACTTATGTATATGAAGTCATTGATTATGAAGGAAAGTCCTCCAGAGGGTGGAGTGTCCATTGAAAGAAAACAAATGACAGGAAATCACCAATTACTACAGCTAGTGGTTGCAAGTTTATGAGCATCAAAACACTGGAAGGGCCTCCCAGGTGGCACAAGGGGTTGAGTCTCAGTATTATGAAGCTACCAGCTGCCACTGCAGCAGTTCGATCCCCAGCCAGGGAGCTGACCCACACGGCACAGACCTCTCTCGTCTCGCCCACTGCTCCCATCAGCAGTGTATTTCAGTCAATCTGCCTGTTCTGCTCCCCACTGTCTGGTGAATCCGCTCACCCCAGCTATTGTATGCATAAGTAAACAAATCTTTAAGGAAAAAGTGTCACGGCTAAGCAGCACCAAGACAGGCAGAAGCACTAGAGCAGCACAACTAAATCTGTGTGCCTAGACACCAGAAGGACCTGAAGGGGGCACCCGGTATGACCCAGCGCGGGCTGTGGATGAGATGAGGGCTGCGCTGATCCTGTGACTGATAAATACTCATCCTCAGAAATACACCAAAGTATTTACAGAGAAAGGGGAACAATGCCTCCACCTTACTTTCAAGTTATTCCCCCCAAAACTTGACAGAATAAAACAAACAAGGCAAAATATAATTGGTGAATTAGGACAAAGTTTATAGTCCCTTACTCCTTATATTAATTTTGTAACTTTAAGTTTCAAATTATTGGGAAATAAAATGTTGACCCAGAATATGCCTTGTGAAGTATAGAGTGTGGGATTAACAGGAAGAAATCTAGAGAAGTACCCTCAAAAGTGCCACAACTTTCCTCTTATGCCCCAGGGTCTGGAGACAGAGGCGAGACTCACCCAGGAATGTCAGTCGATCACTGAGCATCATGGCTGGCCCCAGATTGTCAATGAGATCCAAGTCGGAAAAGCAGCCTCGCTCACAGTAATCCCTGAGGAACCTGCAAGACCGGGCCAAGGGGTCAGAACAGCAGTCCCAGGGCCCCCTCAGCCTCCAAATTGCCCAGACTGACCCTGGGAGGCCGACAGCAACTGAACCCACCTGTCAGACACCAGTGTGGCGAAGGCGGCGTCCTTGGCTCGAATGCTCCACGACAGGGCTGAGCCCAGGCGGTTGTTGCGGACAGCTTTCATGGCTAAGATCTTGCAAATGCTGCGAACTTTGCAGGAAAAAAAGAGAGCTGACCCTGTCACCCTACAAATCGCCGCATTCCCAAACCTGGCTGGGACCTATGTGGCCTGCCCACCTCCACTGAGTCTCCCATAGCCTTTCTGGCATCTCTGGGTTCATCACGTCTCCTGGCTCTGCGAGCAGGAAGACCCACCCTGGCAGCACTGGCTTTGTGAGTGGGTTTGATTTCAGGGGTGGCAAATTAATTTTTACTGCTCCCCACAGACCAGTTCATCCACAGGCTGAAAATCTTACCATCCCTGGTGTTTGAACACCATATGCCTTCTTCAGAGGTCATAAACATTCAAATGCTCCTGCGAAGAGGAACATCTTGGGGTTTTGGTCACTGAACAGGGAGGGGAGAGCAGGGGCAAACTTGGTCATCACCTTCTCTCTCCCTCTATTCTTTCTGAGCCTCTTTGGTCCTCCTGGCCCACGGAGCCAGCCCTACTAGCAGCAGCAATCCACTGGGACAGGCACGCTCAACTCTGACCTCAGCCCTGACCTCGTGGAGTAACACGTGGGCCAGGATGTATTTTTAAGTCAACATGCTCAATAGCTTAAAGGTCTGATCCTCTGCTCCTTTGATCCTCTAAAATACTTTCCTATCTTGGGTTACCTCGACACCCAGTCCAAACCTCTCTCTAGTGCCCTGACAGTGTGACTGCTGGAAAAAGGGTGTGCCAGGAGCAAGCTGACTAACCTTGCTCGGTCATCTGCCGCTGCTCACAGATTCGCAGCACCTTAAGGGCTTTCTGCTCGGTGCTCAGAGGGATCCGCTCAATGTGCAGCTCCAAGGACACTCGGCCCAGCTCTGGGCAGTAGTCAAAGTAATCCACCCCCAGCTGCCACAGGCTGCAAAGATCCAAAAAATGACTGGCATGAGGCCCAGGGCCCACTGCTGTCCAGGGACACCCGAACTAGCACCCAAAGCAGTGCCACCTCCCAGCCCCCAAAACCTTCGGTGAACCACATGGGAGCGAACACAAGCCAAGTTCCAGTGGTACCCGTACTCTAAAAAGCACCCACCGCCACTCTATACCCTTGGGGCCCTGGCACCTGTGATGAGCAAACAGTCCGGAGGCATATTCCAGCAGGAGGAACTCTCTCATGTTGGATCCAAAACTGGAATTAAACATAACGTGACACCCTGACTCCTGGCCTGCTCACTCAGGGCTCACTTCCAGGCATTAATTCACCCCATCTGCAGGAATGGACAGGGGAGGCCACAGCACACTTACTATAGGTTGTGTGACTGGAGGAGTTTACAGTGATCCAGCAGGTCTGTCAGATGGGCCACAAACCACCAGTTGCTCAGGGCAATGCTGCAGGTTCAGACACCAAAGTAAAAATGACAGTCAGAGAGAGGCCATGGTCCACATGAGTGGGATGTAAACAGGAACCCTGCATGTCCTCTGCTTAACAAGGATGGGGGCGGGTGACACTTCCGCCTCCTGGAACAGCTGCTGCTACCCCAGCTTCTAGCTGATTTATTGTCTAACAGCCAGCGAGGTGACTGTGGAGAACCCAAGAGCTAAGAAATCATGGGCTCCAGTCTGAAGCCCCTGAATGTCTCCCCAGAGAGATACGGAGCTTCCAAAGGCAGGGACCACTGAAAGAGAACCAGTAACACCGCTCAGTGCCCAAAACTAGAGTGTGCTGAAGAAGTGGCCAAGGTCTCCTACATGTCAGGCAAGTCTGAACACTGGATTCTGGATCTTCACACACATACACTAGAGAATTCTGAGAGCTGCCTCTACAGAGAACAGGCAGGCAGCCTTATTGTACCAAGATGTATGAGAAAGACTTCATTAACAGCTCTGGCATGGCCTCCACTGGAAAAAGGAGCTGTGGGTAGGCAGAATACCGTCCACGACCTGAGGAAAGAACTGAAAGCCTCAAAGAACTGTGTGCCTTGCACTGGGACCACTGCTGTCCCCTTCTCCCAAGCCTGCATCTTCTTTCTGGTGGCGCTGCAGTAACCTCTGCCATCCCTCTCGCTTGCCTCCTTCAGCAGGGCTTGAAGGCTGTGGACCTTCTGGAAATGAGCAATTAGAGTCTCCAGATACCCTGCAGGCAAGGTTACAGGCAGGGCCAAAATCCTGGCAAGAATACTCTAGATTAGACAAAAATTTAACTAGCCCATATCTTAGTTCTCCTTCTAGTTCTAAATTTTTTGGTGGACTCTAAAGACACCAGGAATCTGCCATTTCGCCTAGCTCCCAGTGAAGTGCATCCCAGCTCCGTTTCCTTTCGCCCAACAGCAAAGAACTGGCCTTTAGAGAAAGTCAGCATGATGGGGGATTAGGGGTAGGAAATGAGCCTTGGAAGCTTCTCAACTGCTCCTCTCAGCTTTGGGGATAACAGGCAAACACGTGGTTTTAGGCTCTGCTTCAGGACCCCATCTTTCCTGTCTGCTAGCATTGACATGGAACTAAACAGGTACCCATTTAGACATCCCCCTTCTAGGGCCTGCATAAAGGGTCCCTCATTCTCCTTTTGCAAGGTGACATCAGACTCAAAGCCACAAAGCTCCCCTGTACCTCCAGCCCACGCACCCAACCCAGAAGACAGATGTTCCTCTCGCCCCGGGGTACCAAGCTGGGGTCTGACTGGTACTGTCATGAGAAACCAAGTGCTTGCAAGGCCCCAAATTCAATCCTTTGTCATCCAGGAGGGTACATATTTAAACCTTCGCTACTTGCTGAAAATACTTCAGGTGCTTTTCCAGTTCTTGGGATCTAGTTTTGGGAGTTGCTCTTTTAACATCTCTTTCAGGATGGAATAGAAAGTAGCCTACTTGGGGCCTCCCTGGTGGCTCAAGGGGTTAAGTCGCTGCACTATGAAGCTGTCTGCAGCCACCGCAGCATGAGTTCAATCCCCAGCTGGCTATAGCGCAGCAGACCCCTCCTGTCTCTCCTGCTGCTCCCCTCAGCACTGTATTTCAGCTGATCCGCCTGCTCTGCTCCCTCTCACCCCCGTACCTCTGGCCTGTACCCCAATTCTTGTATGCATAAATAAATAAATCTTAAAAAAAAAAATGCTGTCTCTTAAGATGGATTCCAAAAATAAGCTTACAGGCTTTCTCTGGATATTAAATAGCAACATCATCCCCTGCTGTGTTATTTTAAACAAATACCCCTGGAAATGGAAATTGTTATAAATATGGTAGCCTTCAAGTCTCATGAAGGTCCCCAGGCTCATCCAGAGAGAATCCTTGATCTAACTTCATTTAGGTAGGGAGGGAGCAAGTCTTCAGGAAGAAGGTTAAACACTAGAAG